TATAGTTGTAGTTGGACACAATACCTTTATTTACTTATTTATTTATTTATTTTTATGTGGTGCTGAGGATCGAACCCAGTGCTTGCTAGGCAAGCACTCTACCCCTGAGCCACAGCTACAGACCTTAAAACATTTTTTTTTTAAATATCTGAGTCAGAATGTAAAACCTTTTAAGTTTATTTCCAAAGATCAAAACATCTCTTACCTGGGTGAGGTGGCACATGCCTGTAATCCCAGCAACTCCAGGAGGATTGTGAGTTCAAAGTCAGTCTAGCAAAAGTGAGGTGCTAAGCAACTCAGTCAGATCTTGTCCTAAATAAAATACAAAATAGGGCTGGGGATGTGGCTCAGTGGTCGAGTGTCCCTAAATTCAATCTCTGGTACCTCCCCATACACAAAGATATACCTTAAACTTAATTTTTTTTTAAAGAAAAGAAACAATCAGTGAGGTAAATAGCGCCTACAGAATGGGAGCAAATTTTTACCATATGCACATCAGATAGAGTACCAATCTCTAGGGTATATAAAGAACTCAAAAAGCTAAACATGAAAAAAACAAATAACCCAATCAATAAATGGGCCAAAGACCTGAACAGACACTTCTCAGAAGAGGATATATAATCAATTAACAAATATATGAAGAAATGTTCAATCTCTAGCAATTAGAGAAATGAAAATCAAAACTACTCTTAAGATTTCATCTCACTCCGGTCAGAATGGCAGCTATTAAGAATACAAATAACAATAAGTGTTGACAAGGATGTGGGGAGAAAGGCACACTCATACATTGCTTGTGGTACTGCAAATTACTGTGACCAATATGGAAAACAGTATGGAGATTGCTTGGAAAACTTGGAATGAAACCACCATTTGACCCATATATAAACTCCTTGGTTTATATTCAAAGGACTTAAAAACAGCATACTACAGGAACAAAGCACATCAATGTTTATAGCAGCCCAATTCACAATAGCTAAATTGTGGAACCAACCTAGATGCCCTTCAGTAGATGAATGGATAAAGAAACTGTGGTATATACACAATGAAATATTACTCAGCAGTAAAAAAGAATAAAATCATGGCATTTGCAGGTAAATGGATGGAGTTGGAAAATATTATGCTATGTGAAGTAAGCTAATTCTAAAAAACCAAATTCTGAATGCTTTCTCTGTTATGAAGATGCTGATCCATGATGGGGTTGGGGGAAGCATGGGAGGAATGGAGGAACTTTAGATAGGGTAAAGGGGAGGGAGGGGAAGGGAGGGGGTAGTAGCTTAGAAAAGATGGTGGAATGAGATGGACATCATTATCCCAAGTACATGTATGAAGACATGAATGGTGTGTCTCTACTTTGTTTACTGGTGAAGGCGTTCCTGCACTGCTGTCTGACAGGTTCACAACGTGGGGGATGCTGTGGCAGTGCCGCACCATCTGGAAACCAGAACAATTAGGAATGTTTTTTTTTTTTAAATATTTTTAGTCATTGATGGATCTTTATTTATTTGTTTGTATGTGGTGCTGAGAATTGAAGTCAAGGCCTCACACATGCTAGGCAAGTGCTCTGCCACTGAGCCACATCCCCAGCCATTAGGAAGGTTAAGTGTTTTGTTTATGATACTCATGATATGGATAACAGATCATACGTCAATCAATAATAAAAGTACGTATTGCCTGAGATTGCAAGAAAATTCCCGGAATAAGACTAAGGATACAATTGAGACAGGCCATGAGGTGTGTTTCAGTGTCTCTCAGGATACAAGCAATAGAGTTATTCCTCAAGCCTAAACAACAAGAAATATTTATCCTATTGTTAACAATTTACACCAGCTCCCCTACCCCCATCTTAAAGCCACAACCTGTACAATAGCCTAGCTACAGAAAGACAATTGCTGTGCCAACAGTACAAGGACCACCGTATGTAGCTTATGGTATCCTCTCAAGGACAAGAGGCTAATAAAAATACATTCCCCCAACCAATAGACACTCCTTTGCCTTACACAGAAATTTATGATGAAAATGGAAATGGAAAACACATAGTTAATATAAATGACAAATGGGTTGAGGTGTAAAGCCTGCCCTTTAAAGATTACAAAGACATAAGAATTGGTGTGGCTTTGATCAAGGATCAAGGAAGTTCTTTAAAAAAGCAGTTGAAGAACAGAGTAGGGACGAAGAGCAGGAGAAGAAGATTAACATTTAACAGGGATGAGAGGTGGGAGGGAAAGGGAGAGAGAAGGGAAATTGCAGGGTAATGGAAGGAGACCCTCAGGGTTATACAGTGGAGGGGGTAGAGAGAGAGGAGGGGAGGGGAGGGGAGAGGTGGGGAGGGGGGAGGGTGGAGGATGGGAAAGGCAGCGGAGCACAACAGACACTAGTATGGCAATTTGTAAATCAATGGATGTGTAACTGATGTGATTCTGCAATCTGTGTATGGGGTGAAGGTGGGAGTTCATAACCCACTTGAATCAAAGTGTGGAATATGATATGTCAAGAAATTTGTAATGTTTTGAACAACCCACAATAAAAAATTAAAAAAAAAAAAGCAGTTGAATAGGTCATATGAAAAAAGAAAATTACCTTGGAAATTAAAAATAGAATAATGTAAAATTAACATAGATATATTTTAGAGGCACTTCAGAGTAGTAGGCTTTTAAATAATAGACTTTCACTACTTTAAGTGTGTTTTACTGGGATTTTAGTTTAGAAGTAAGAAAGCTTACCAATAATCATAAGTATGCTTTAAGGTTAAAGGTTAATGAAATAATTATAGGTATGCTTTAAAGTTAGAAGTGAATAATAGATCAGGAGTTATGTAGTCTAGTTGCATTGCCTAGCACCTAGTGATTGAGGTGAAGACGTAAAAGCTTAATCATGATTGACTAAGGTTACAGAAAAATATTTTGAACAATGTACTCAATAACTTAGGTAATCAATGTATGTCAGAAAAGATTGTAACTCTTGAAAATTATGTAAATCAAAAAAGTTCATGCTTTGAAGCTATTCATTAACTACCTGAAAAAATACCTGTAAAAAAGGTATAAAAATAAAGTTCCCTCCAAGGGCAGCAGAGATTTCTTCTGGAGGCTGCTCATAATTTGCAACCTGTTGTCCTGACTCCTCTTCTTTCACTGATGCCACTCCTCCTTCAGGACCTCTGGAACCTGACTCCGCCTGCAGGGGCTGGACCTCAGCAGTGTACAACCAGAGACATGAGAAATTGTGTTCTATCTGTGTATTATAAATTGAAATGCATTCTGCTGTCATATGTAACAAATTAGAATTTAAAACAAGAAAAACAAGCATTCATTGGTTGTTTTGTGCCAAGTTGCCTAATGTGCTGACTTCTTTTTTTGCAGGGGGCGGGCGGTCAAATGAGGGGACACTTTACCACTGAGCTACATATATATCTAGCTCATTTTATTTATTTATTTAGAGACAGGGTCTTGGTAAGTTGCTGAGGCTGAACTAAAACATGCAATCTTCTTGCCACAGCCTCTCAAGTTGCTGGGATTACAGGTGTGCACCACCTTTCTGGGCTTATTGTTTTTTTTCTAGGAGAGTGAATCATACTAATTTTAAAATTCATCTTGGGTCTGTCTTGTTTTTAACTTTAGGGCCTTTTAAACTCTTAAATCTAGAGCTGTTTACTGTTAGGAAGTTTTTCCAAGCCTAGCATCCCACTGACAATGTGTGAGGTCATCAAATTCAAAAGACTGTCAAAGAGAGTTGATGAGAGGAAAAACAAGGATGTACAATTCTGGTGACATAGAGGCAAAAAGCAAAAACAAAAGCAAAAAACCTAGCTCAGACTAGGAATGAGGTTGGATGATATGTGTTGCTGTGTAACAAGCCACTCCAAACTTGGTGGTTTGAAGTAATATTTATTTTGCCCACAAATCTGCACTTTGGGCAGTACACAGCGAGATCAGCTTATCTGTTCTACTTGGTGTCCTTGTGGCTGCTCTATTGGGGGTGGAAGGAAACACTTTCATGATGGCTTGATGGCTAGCAAGATGGTGCTGGCTCAGCTGAAAGCTCAGCCCCATTCCACAGGCTACTTCAGCTTAGTTTTGACATGATGGTTAGGCTCTGAGGGTGAGTATCTCAAGGAAGTGGAGCCACCAGTTTTTTAAGATTTGGGTTTAGAAACTGGCAGTGTCACTTCCACTGGATCCTAGTAGTCACTAACAAAACTCCAAGAAGATTCATAGATCCTACCCGTCAGTGTATCAGGGAATTGGGGAGCCACTGTTTTAAAACCAGCAAGTTAACTTGAGAGTGTGAGCAAAAAGCCTGAATGGATAGGAATAAGAGTACATTTATCAACTAGCACTGGGATAGGGGAAATGATGGATTACAGAGCCAGGATATACAGATAGGACTAGAAGAATGATGAAAATGAAAGCCTGAATCCCAGGAAAGTTTAGCTGCAAAGAGGGCTATTTACCCAGAAACTGCCTGTATAGGAGCCAATTGAGAAACAGAAGTAAAGTCAAGGCCAGGCAGTCAGATGTTGGGAAGAACACAGGGAAGGTAAAGATCAGATCAAGGCCAAATGCTTGAAATCTGGTTAAGAGGATAGTTAGGAGTCCAGTGTGTAAGTGAAGTAGTCAAAGCTGGTAAAACAACTAGGACTAAGTAGCAAACACCAGAAAATATGGCTATGCCAGAGTGCCAGACAGAAACAGGAATCCAGAAATCAGAAAAAGGCAAATCAAAGAGGTAGAAAAATAGGTAGACTTTAACACTAAGGTGGAGTATGGAAAGCCTAAACTCCCATCTACTGCGCTGTGCTGCTGAGAGATCTGAGTACCTCTCCTGCTCATCTACATGGTGGGGCAGGAGTCAATGAATTGACCGAAAGATATCGTATACAGCATGAATTAGGCAATCAGGGGTTGGGAGCGTAGCTCAGTGGCAGAGGCTTTGCCTAGCACACGAGGCTCTGGGTTTAATCCCCAAAATGACAAAATAGAAACAACAATCAGAAAACACCTCAATTACAATTGTTTCAATTCAGATTTTATTAAAGGTATTAAAGTTATTTCTGAATACTACATTTCAGTCTTATTTTCCCCTATTTATTTTTTGTTTTAAGAACCTTTCTTCATTTACCAAATACGGTGTCATGAGTAAGAGCACCAAAAAACATAGTCAATGTCGAAGAGACTGATTGTTTTATGACAGTAAGGAAAGTCAGTAAAAAAATTGTAGAATCCAAGTACAGAAACACCAAAATTCCCCCTTCAAGCAAGCCAGAGCTTCTTTACATATCATCTGTAAGCTAATGTTTTTGGATTTTACCATTAAGATGAAAATAAAAGAGCAAGATCACATTGTTTTATTTTTTTTGCTTCTTCAGTCTAAAAATATGAGTTTCTTGTGGTATGGTTAATACCCCCCCACCCCCCTGCAAAAAACAAAAACAAACAACAAAACAAACAAACAAAACTGGAAGGAAAATAAGTCACTGTGAATGATTTGCTTATCATTTTAAAAAAAAATCAGTTGACTAGCCCTTCCCTTTCCTTAGACTTTAGGCAGCTATAGAAATGTAGGAAAAAAAAAAAAGATTAAAAAAAGATAAATAAATATAAGGGCCAACTGTAGGAGGCAATTTGCATACTTCACTTGATCCTCACAGTATCATGAGAGCATTTCAAAAACAAGCTTATAAGAGTGAAATAACTGGGGCTCAGTGTCACATAGGTGATGGAGCTGGGTGGGATTTATGTTCAAGTCTACGCCTAGCAAGCCTTGTTCTATTATGCCGCTCTGTCTCCCTAAAGCCCTTTGACTTGAGATTTTTTTTCACTATTACCATTTCATCATCTAATTCTAAATTTATGCTTCAAGTCTTGCCAAACTACTGAATAATAAAAGAACCTAAAATTATTCTCAATCTGCTTGCAAAACCAGGAAGTGTAAAGGGTATCAGAACTCTTCAAGTAATGAGAATCTTCCATACCTAAAATTATAAACAATTCACTGGTAATGATAGCTAGTAATACCAACACACACATGGGTAATTTGACTCAATTTCTTATTGTTACTATCTGTCAATCTCACAGGAATAAAGGCAGAAAAGGACAAATTACTACAGTAAAATTTGACTGCTCATTAAATATAGTGTGCACTTGGTTGAGCACCAAAAGCACCTTTTGATGGCATTTTAAAAGTGCATGTTTACTAGCCTCTCCCCACCTTGTGCACACTATAGAGCTACACCTCGCTCAGTCCCCTAGTTTTTTTTAAGTGTTTAAATCTGACGGCCCACTGGGTGTGTGGGGGGGGGGGAATCCCTTACCGATGCACATTTGTGTAGTGTTGTAGAATTAACTATATTGTCTAAGAGGATAACTTACTAACCCCAAAATATACTTCTTTTGCATATTTTGAGAAACTGCAGACAGAGTAGCTCTGAAAAGTTGTCCTTTTATAAAATAAACATATATATTATTAAAGGTGTCTATATCAGAGAGAGGGCTGCTAGGCAACTTTTGTTACCTGCCCCCCCCCCCCTTGGGTGGTGATGGAAATCAAACCCATATTACCTTTCTATCTGCATAATAAAGCCACCTTTATTTACCATTTTCCTCCATGTCCCTCACTCTTACTCCCCTGCCAAGATCTATAGCTCAGAATGCTATAAGCTTCAATTATCTTTGACTCCTTTTGAGTCTTATTTTGTGGGACTCCCATGCAAAAATATACAATAAAGTCTAATTTTTCTCCTGATACTCTGTCATGAGTAAACTTAATTTGCAGCCCAAAGAACCTAAAAGGGTGGGGAGAAACCAGTTTTTGCTTTTACTCAGGATCAGAGTTCTGGTGAAGTGGATTTTATGGGTAACCAACTCAAATCTATATAATCTGGACACCTCACAAGTATAGGTCTGCTGCGAATGTAACTCTATGTAATTATCTTTAAGTGTTTGAAGTTAACATCTATACTTACTCCTTTATTCAACCGCTTGTTGAAGTTAGTCACTAGTTTTTTCCCCCTTTGGGTCCAATCCTAAAAAGAGTAGGCTCTTTTACTTCAGAAGCTGAAAGGTAAGATTAGACTGAAGCCTCTCCTAACATTAAAGTATCTAACTGACCTCCTTTCTAAAGTCTCACTGATGTTATTACTCATTAAGTCATTTATTAGATATATCTTTTACATAATACCAGTTGTAAGACTAAAAAAAAAATCCCCACATAGGACCATTAACTTTAGGAGGTTAATACATAAGAGGAAAGCTAGAGGAGCTGGGGTTGTGGCTCAGAGGTAGAGCACTTGCCTAGCATGCGTGAGGCATTGGGTTTGATTCTCAGCACCACATAAAAATAAAATAAAAGATGTGTCCACCTATAACTAAAAAATAAATATTAAAAAAAAGAGGGAAGCTAAATGTTTATACAAATTTGACTTAAGATGGATACAAAAACTATGGATAAAGGCTTGACAGGCTTGGGAATGTATCATAGTGATAGAGCATTTGTCTAGCATGCATGAGACCTTGGGTTCAACCCCCAACACTGCAAAAACAAAAAAAAAAAAATAAAGTTTGTCAATGTAAGAGAAGCAGTGGTTTGTTAGAACCAATTAAAGAAAAAAAAAATTTCAGTATAACCAAGTGAAATGAGAAATTGTGGGAATGTAACATTTTTGTCCTGATCACTTCTCCACATAATCTAATATAGGATCCTAAGGCAAATTTAACCAATAAGGCATAGGAGTTGGGACAGGTGGAATGAGCAGTTGTGGGTAATTACCAATACAGACTCATTTGGGGTCATTAGCTGTTGGTGCTGCCTCATTTTACCTGAAATTACTGTATACCTAGTGAGGCTAAAAAATAATTCCTTGCTTTAAAGGGATGTAGGTTCCTTGAATTTCCTGATGTTCTCTACCTTCCAAGTGGAATTGGAAAGGGGTAAGTACCACAAAACAAAGTAAATAATGAAGTTTAGCTGGGACTACAAGGACAAAAGATGGATAAACAGTAAAGAATAAAACAAAAGGGGGAAATCCTGAAAAATCTCTCTCTATAAAAACCAATCCAAACAATCCAATCTAAACATATACAAGTGTAAAACTTTATCATCTAAATACCCAAATGTTGAACTAATCCCTACTGTCTCCTTTTCCCACAGAATACAAAACACTATACAAGATATTGTACTAATTTCAACCATTAGTTGAAAATACAGTTAAGAAGATGATTTTGGATCTGAAGTCATCAGAGTACCAGTTTAAAAATAATTTTCATAAACATATTTTGATAAAGGCCACAGGAACACTTGTCACATTGTTCAAATGCTCAATGGCAAGACTTCTGATGAGACCAAACAGGTCACATAAAATCAATAGAGTATCATAGAAATAAAGCCAATATGACTAAATCCAAAACAGATCACATGAAGTACCTCATGTACAATACAAACCTAGTTTAATAAATAAAGGAAACACAGGTGACTGCACTCTGGGAGAACATTCAGTTCTTCAGGGTCTGCTCATAATCTTCTCTGAGATTCCACTGCCACTTCCACTTGAGCAAGTCTAATGGTACGGCCATGAAGTTTGTAGCCATCTTGCCTTACTAACGCCACTGTGCCAGGTTGTACTCCAACACCAGCTGGCACATGACAGATGAGTTCATGCTCATGAGGGTCGTATTTATCACCGATGGGAGCCATCTTCTCCAGGCCATGCTTGGCAAATACACTTTTCAGCTTTGCTTCTAAAAGTGACAACCCTCGGAAAACTTTCTCCAGAGTGAGCTTCTGGTCCCCAGGTTCTGTTTCTTCAGAAATGCACTCAGTAGTCTTCTCCAAAATGTCTGCTACCTCCACCAAGTCCTTACAGAAACTCTGGATTCCTACAGAGAAACCAGACACTTAAGTTTGTGAATTAATCACTCTGCACTTAGGAGGAGAATATGGGGCAGGCCCAGATAGGGGGCTAATATATTATATGCAAAGAGTGGGAGGGTTGCCTCACAGAAACTTCAGGATCATCCTTCTTTTCCACCCTAACCCAACAGACAAAATCTTTTTTTAAAAGGTATAGAAGACCAGAAACCCTATTGGGAAATGAGGAAGAGAGTTAGAACCCAAGAATTAGCTAAGTTTATATATAACAGGCTCAAAAACCTGTTCTTGTTAAAACAACTATTATTTTTGCTTCTTGTGTTTTTGTTGCTATTCAGTTTTAGTATAGAGTTATATATATTTTGAAAATTCCTATCTCAGATGTACAAAGGCCACACTCTCAATAGGGACAAGATATTAACTTTTGGGGGGTGACAATAAAAATATCAACACTCTGTTAAGGATGTCAAGAGTGGTTTATTCTTGAGGACTGGCTAATAATAAACAGGAAGGTTAAGTCACATCAACAGATGATATGAATCTCCAACTGCCTACTGTGAAGTTGCTAGAGATGGGTCACAAAATTTAGTCACATGAATTGTTGCAGGTTAAAAGAAAACACAGCTGTTGAGAAATCCCATTCTTCCTAAATCTGCAAAATGCTCTTTCTTACAGAGATTAGGATAAGATTAGGATAGGAAATGGCATCATTAGAGATGCCTATGACACAATACCTAGTTGGGACTGATGAGAAGCAAGGATTTTGTTAATTCAAGGACAAGTTTATGCACTGGTAGCTGCCTTCACTTTACTCAGAAGTGAGAAGGAAGATCAGCAAGCAATAAAAGGCATGAAAGAGCAAAGAGACGGGAAAACTTACTGCCTAGATAAAAGTCTAAAGGACGCATAGGAAGTCTACCTTTAACTTAAAGGTGAAGAGCTTCCTCCCCACCACCTTTTGTTTTTGGCTCTAGAGATTGAACCCTGAGGTGCTTTCTCACTAAACCATACTCCAGCACTCTTAATACAATTTTGAACATGGTAAGCTTCTGGGTTGACCTGTATATTCCCAAGGCATAGTCCTTGCTTCTAGTCAGTAAAGCTATATGAACTTGGGTAAAGAGAAGCCTGTGTTTTTGTCTGTATAATAAAGGTTCATTCTCTAATTTCATTCTAATTGTTGTATTACTTTGATAGTTAGTGGCTGCACAATGTCTTAAAAGAAAAATGAATCTTTGTGACTAAGAAGGTGGATTATTGAGGAAAAAACCACCTTTGGAAGGTCAGATAGTCTTCATGCTGTATCCCTTTAAAATCATTCTACTTTTCTTCTACTTCCATGATTACCCAGTTATCTTCAATTTTCTAAATATTTCTGGCCACTAGGAGCAAATGATCCAAGAGAATAACTTATGCAGCATCTTTTGCTAGAAACATTTTACTCTAAAGCCAATCAGGTGGATTAATTTATCAAATTCTTTTGAATTTAGTTAACATGGGTTTGTTTTCAGAAGTCATACTACTACTTGAGTAAACTGATATGCTAGTTCTAACACAAAGTCTGACTTTTCATAATATACCTTTATTTTATTTATTTTTATTTGATGCTGAGGATTGAACCCAGTGCCTCACACGTGCTATGCGAGCTCTCTATCACGGAGCCACAAGCCCAGCCCAAAGTATGACTTTTGATAAGCCCACTTACCTGGCTTCTTTCAAGTAAGTTGTATACAGAGTCTAGAGTAGCCACCTGAGGTTATCTGATTCTGTAATCTGAGCCTTTGTTTTCAAGCTATTTTATAACTCACCACGATGTACAATACTGATAGTAATGCAAAAGATACTTGTCCACAATAGGGAAAATTGTCTGGTAGTTCATTGTTACACTATGGATATCAATCAATTTTGCTTCCAACAGAGTCAGTAACTTCACACATTAAACATTACTGAGTATCTACCACGTGCCAGGCACCACGTTGCCAAAATATCAGATATGTAAGTACTGTGATAAAAGGAGATGACTATCCTCAGTCAGTGACATTTTTGAGCTTCTCAAGTTTCATATTCCTAACTGTCTATGAGCCTACACTTCAGATTCTCCTCTGGATACCTTAAAGATCCACTTGTTCATTATGCAGAACTGTTTGCACAGGCACTAGCATGTTGCAAATGTAGTGATTATATGTACTTAGAAAATAAAACAAAGGTTTGGTTAAAACAAAGGCTAACATTATCTTAGCAAAAGGTTAAGTTGACACCATTCCTGATAAGCAGCACAGAAAGCCTATTGGTATGGTGGAAGGTGTAAGAACTCAGATGTACTTTTACTGTGCTCAGTTTGCACATGCAAAGTAAGTGCCCTTCAGATACATTTTATCGTGAATAAATTTCTCACCAAATATCTTGGCGTCTTCCACACATCTCTGGGTTCTTTTCCTTATGTTTTCACAATCAGCTACAGCTCTCTGGTATCTCAGCTGAACATCAACGGCAACATTGAAAAGATCAGAAAACAAATGCTTATGAGTGAATAAGAATGTTTTTGCTTACTTTATAAAATCTCACCCTTGTGATAAATCTTAGATCAGCTACTCCAAATCCCCAGCCAAAGGAGGACCTACTATAGTGAACCTGATGGGTAGTCATTCAGTCTGCTGGATTGAATATAAGTTTCCTTCCTTCTTTTTTCTTTTTCTTTGTGGTACTGGGGGTTGGGCCCAGGACCTCAGATGTGCTAGGTAAGTGCTCCATCACTGAGCTATATCTCAGCACCTCAATATCAGAAGTAGTTTTCAAACTAATTATCTAAAGAAAAAACTTTCTCTCTCATATCCAGCTAATCCTGTTAACCTTCAGTTTTCTTTCTCTGACTTTACTCTAGGACAACTGAGAGTAAGTTTTAAAGATGTGTTATCTATTTAAAGGTACTGATTGTAGTCTCTTAGTCTTTTCCATTCTTACAAATTTTGGTTCCTTCAATTGTTCTCATAAGATAAGCTTTATAGTCTCCTATCATTTTCAGTGGTCTTGCTTTGAAACCACTCTGGTTAATATACTCATCTTCCTCCAAGTGTGTCAACCCAGGACTAGGTCCAGTATGCCCAATTTGGTCTCAGCAGCCAAATACAAGAGTCAGTAACCTCACACATTAAATATTATTGAGTGTCTACCACATGCCAGGCACCACACTGCCAAAATATCAGATATGTAAGTACTGTGATAAACAGAGAACTAAAAGGAGATGATTATCCTCAGTCAGTGGCATTTTTGAGCTTCTCAATTTTTTTGCTGGTAACACCTAGCAATGAAGGATTGAGGGGGTAGACGAAGAGTCAATCAGAGAAAATTGAATTTTAAAAACGACAAAGAAAATTTTACTTGGAACTGAAACCAAAAGACCAAATAACATAAAATACTTACTGTTAAATCCTGAACTTCCTTTTCCAGTTTAACAGCTTTTAGCTTTAAGGCTCGTTCAGCAAGAGAGGGCCCAAGCTCATCAGGAGGGTCCTCAGAACTGCAGTCTTCACCTGCAGTTCTCTGGGTGGCAGTGCTGAATGGGTGAAGCCATATCCTAGAATAAGAGGGAGGAGGCAACAATGAATGAATGCTATCATAGAAAAGGCAAATTACAACAAAGTTTAGAGACCCCAAACTTCCCATACTGAATCTCTAGAGAAAGGGTTTTCTGTCACAAATGAACACTTTAGAGCATCAGGTACTGTTTTATCTGTACCATCTTTTCATCTCACAACATGTAAGGTAAGTACTATTATTTTTTAGAGCTTCTAAAAAAATAATAGTTTTATCAATATTCAGTTCTTATGCCATACAATTCACCATTAAAAGATTTTTAGTATATTTACAGTTGGGTAACTATCACAGTTTTAGAACACTTTTCTCACCATAAAAAAGAAAGCTTATATCTGTAAACTATTCACCATTTCCACCTAAATTATCTGTCTGGGCAAGTCTAATATACTTTTTATTTCTCACGTATTTGCCTTTTATGGATGTTTAACTTAGGTGGAACCATACAATATGTGGTCACTTAAGAGCACTTTCTTTCCCTTAGTGTGCTTAAGGTTCATCCATAAAATTGCACTTACCAGTAAAACTTTTTTTTTGTACTGGGGATTGAATCCAGGTGTGATTAGCCACTGAGCCACATTTACAGCCCTTTTTATTTTTTGAGACAGAGTCTTGCTAAGTTGCTGAGGCTGGTTTTGAACTTGTGATCCTACTGCTTCAGCTTCTGAGTCACTGGGATTATAGGCTTGCTCCACTGTGCCCAACTGTAATTTTTATTTTGAGACAGGGACTCACTAAGTTGCTGAGGCTGGTCTAGAACTTGAAATCTTCCTCAGGCTCCCAAAGTCACTGGGATTATAGCATGTGCCTCGGTGCCTAGCCAATAAACCTTTTTTTCCTGCTAAGTAATATTCTGTTGTGTGGATATACCAACTTTTTATTCCATCTGTCAGTTCATGGGACATTTTGATTCTTTCCACTTTTTTGCTGTTATGAATCATATCTATTTAACAGATGAAAAAACTGAGGCCAAGAGGCTTAATGCTTAATGATTTGTTCAAGATCACACATAGCTGGGCAAAGTGGCATATGACTTAGTTACTAAGGAGGCTGAGGTGGGAGGATCATGAGGTCAGCCTGGGCAACAAAGCGAGACCCTGTTTCAAAAACAAACAAAAAATACAACAACAAAAATCCCCCAACACAACTAGTACACTGTGGAGCCAGGATGCTGAGCTCCAGGAAGTAGAAATAGCCAGAAGTGGGCACACAAAGTCATCAAAAAAGAAACTAAGAATACTGAGAATCAGAGAGGCAACATCAGAAGTGAAAATTCAAAACCAGAGACTCACAGTTTTGCTTCAACCCTTCATTTACAGAAAAGAAAAATTAAGTCTAGTAAAGGGGGCTGAATTAGACTTTGAATTCTAAGCCTTCTTGATCACAAGTTCTAAGGCTTTTGGGAAAACAGAACTTGTGCTAAGAAGGAAGTTCTGAATTGGGAACTCAACTACATGCAAAATCAAGTCAATGAAGTGCTTATAAACAGCTGTTATGTGTTCGGCCTCTAGGCTAAATAGGTGACTAAAACAGATTCTTGTATTTGATACTTATGTAATCTAGAGTTTTGTACAGCTAATAAATTGGTGAAGGTCTGGATACAATCTGATGTAAATTCCTTACGTAAGGAAGTACTTAAGTTGTCTTTCAGGAAGTACCTCCAAAATTCATTCAAGGATGACTTAAAACTGCTTGTTCAAGAATGGAATTGCGCAGAAGCCAGCTTGCCTGAGGTTTAAGTTAAAAAAAATCCTCCACACAGAACAGGCCCTTGGAAAAAAACCACAACACTGTGACCCTTGAAGAGGCATAACATCTATACCTGTGCAAAAGAACCCTAAAAACTTCTCCTCACCTATCCAATCAATAAGCAGCGTCTCCATTCTTGTCAGTTGTCCTCACAATATAGTCCTTTACTTTTGAAAAAGAAACAAAAACCCAATGTGTCACAATATTGGCTTCTGTGTATGCAGGGCCCTTGCTCAGTATCACTAAAGGTTTGACATTTAGTTCAGTTTACAAAGGAAGAAATTTAGACCAGGGGTTAGTTTGTAACAGATCTTGAACTACGGCAGTTTTGATCTCTCTATAGAGAAGTTTCCATTACACATGCTGGGTCCTGATAATTTGATTTCAAGTAAAATCAATCTGTGGTACAAGAGCTCTTTAAAACAAAATAGTTTATATGAACAGGTAACTATTAGAGAATGGTCACTGAGGTGACATCTGAGTAAAGGCTTAAGGAGTTAAAGGAGTTTGCTTTAAGGACAGGGAAGAGCACTCTGGGCAGACTGAGGCACTAGTTTAAAGGTATGAGCAAGAGAACTTTTATCTCCCAGACTTTGCCTGGTCTTGGACTCAATTATTATGATCTGGTGTCCAATTATATATGGTTCCTAATTTTTGGTTCAAAAAATATGGTCACCATAGATCTGGGGCAATTATACATTGTGAAATCACTCCTTCCCCCTAAAAAAATTATTTAGCCTATTGAAAACAGATCAAAATATTCTCAGGGCCAGTCAACAGAACATGGCTAGAGGTCAGATTATGAAAGAGTTGTGGCTGATTCCAATTCCTACTCCTTCAGAACTGGAGGAAAGGGAAATCTTATCAGAAGGCATCATTTTTTTTTTTCTTTCTGATCATTCTTCTACCTCACCAAACTGCCAAAAAAAGTTGAAAAGAAAACACAAAGTAAAACCCAGAAACCCTAAATTTAACTCACCTATGCTATGGAAAGGTATTTTGTCAGGTGTGTTAAAATTAAAAAGAACTGAAAAAATAGTTATGCAAATTTCTCTGTAGCTAAATCTACAATTCAGAGGTCTAATTCTATCCCATACTCAGTCATTTTTATTCTTTCCCAGGAATACAAACTGAGAAAAATGAACACCTGTTCAGTAATAAAACACCTGTTCTATCAAGTCCGGGTTCTATCACTACCCACGTATTTAAGTTTGGTAAAGTTTACCCAATTTTTCTAAACCTCAATTTCCTCAACTATTAAACGGGGAATAACAAAATGAGGTAGTCGGCATGGTAAGTGATCAAATGAAACCTGATGACGCCTAGAAGCAGTAGCTGGAACTTCACAGTATCTGGAAGGCAGAAGGAAGGGCTGTTTGGAGAAACCAGGTCCAACGCCCTCCTTTTACCAATGGGTAAAATGATGCCCAGGAAAAGGTAAAGAACCAGGACCTACGGTCACATGGAGTCAGAAGAACCAACTATTCTCAGACACCGCTAAAGAGAAGGGGCAAAGAGAGAGGAAAACCTCCAATTCAGTCGATGCTTCAGGCTCAAGAGACTTCTCATCTCCCAGGACATGACTCCATATCTGCCCACTTCCTTGAGGCTCGCCTGTGAACCTCAGTTTCTCCCTCTGTAAAATGGGTCGTGAACACCTGGTCAAGGAGGCCGTGAGGAGTGGCTGGTCCTCTCGACTTAGCCGAGTAACCCGTCGCCCTCCAGCCCACAGTTTCCCTTGCCAGCGCCCTCGTTCGGCATAGACTTCGTGTTTCAGACTCCTCGCCCGCAACGCTTACCTGCTACGCGAGGCCAGGAGGCGCTGCACCCGCCGCTGGACCGCCCACAGAGACCAAGCAGCCATGATGCAGACCGGAGAGGATCGGTGCGGCGCACGCGCACTCGCTCCAAGTGAAGCGCGCGCTCGAAAACCACGCCTCTGGATAGCCTTAAGAGCAATTCCCGCTTTGGACGTCCGGACAGGAACGCTAAACTTCCGGTTATCTAATGAGCCACGCTGATCTTGGTACCGAACGCAACACTTCCGGTTGCTGGCTCTTTGGTTTGGTAGTGTGGGTACCTAGGTACGGAGGATTGGTACTAGGCACGGAACGACGAACAAAAGCGGCTGAATCTTCATAGAGCTTTCGTGAAGTTATAAACTATAGATACAAGCGCAGTATAAAATCGAAATATGTCCAGGGTTTAAAGATGAGGGACGGAGTGCTGCGGAGGCCTAGAATACAAATATGTCCGAGTATGGAAAGTTTTCCCAAAGGAAATGATATAGAGCTGAGAGTAAAAGAATTGGTAGGTGAAAGGAGGGTCAAGTGGTGGTGGGGGTGGGTGGGTAATATTTGCAAACATCCAGTGAAGAGGGAAGAGTATTGCAAACAAGGGACTGAAATACAGCGAAGGGGAGCAGAAGCATAAGCTGGGTAGGCAGGACCAGATCACGTGAATGGTGAAAAAAACTGCATCCTGAATGCTTCTTTCCCCACTTTTCCTTCAATACCCTTATTTTCTGATTAGGAACTGTTTTTTAATGGTGTGTATTGTTTTATTTTCTCTTACTAAAACTTAGGTTCCATTGGGGGCAGAGATTTTTTTTTTGTTAATTCCTAGTGAGCAGTGCCCTAATGTACTTGTTTAATATTTTTTCGTGCTAAATGAATCTTAGTCTTATTTTGATTGCATTGAGAACATGTGGTAAAGCCTTTACATATTTTTGTTGTAAGGAGGAGAAGACAGGGTATAAGAAAAGAAGTAGGGGAGATAAGCTGTTGGAATAATAGCCCAGGCAGGAGAGGGATGTATTCTGCCTAAGGTCACCTCAGTGGAAACCTTTGTAACTTCCCTGTGTAAAGTAACTGTGTCCCAAATCTTTTTCCTTTATTAGTATTTATTTTGCTTCCTTTTTGTTACTTTAATTTGGATTTGAGCTTCACCAGGTTCAAAGCTATTTTCCCTTGACATCTACTATAGCAGGTGCTCAATAAATATTTGTTCAGTGAATTAATGAAGTTGGATATTAATGAAGATAGGAGGATGTGGATGAACTATAGAGATTTAGGATGGAAAGCTGACAGGATATGAGAATGAACTGGTGGCTGGGCTCTGGAGTATTTGGAATTACCAACCTATTGAATAATCTTTAAAGTTAAAAAAAAAAAAAAAGAAATGGGACGGGCTGGGGTTATGGCTCAGTGGTAAAGCATGTGTGAGGCATTGGGCTCGATTCTCAGCACCACTTATGAATAAATTCATTAAATAAAGGTCCATTGACAACTAAAAAATATTTTTAAAAAAGAAATGGAATATACTTAAACACTCTGAATCTTCACATGTTATGGCTTACAATCTGGGTAGCAATCTGGGTCAGATTTTCTCTCCTGCTTGTCAGTTCCATGAGGACAAAGCTGGAATCTTTTGCATCTTTATATGGCATCTAAGTCCCACTCAAATGTGTTATAACCAATCCCTTCAAGTTTTTGTTTGTTGCCTTATGAGAAGGGAAACATGGTTTAAGGAGGGGCTATTAACCCTTTTACAGAAAATTGAGGCTCAAAGCAGTTGGTGAACCTGTGCAAAGTCCTCCACTGAGGATCCAACCACACTAGAATTCTAACAGACCAAACTTGGCGGTGTTAGGAAGGATGGAACTTCAAGTTCACCTCAGACCCATGACCTGTAGTTTGAAAAAAAAAAAAAAAACAACCAAACAAGGCATTTTAACAAGAGCAGGGACTGGCATTTGCGTTTTAGCCATTGCTTACATTTCTCTTAGCTGCCCAGCTTATACCAAGTGTGCTTCATCCATTCATTCATGTGTTTATTAAGTGCTAGTGTGCTTCTGAATGCTGCAGTGCAGTGGGAGGGAGATAACGTGTTGAAAAAGAGCTTTCAGGAGCAGACTGAATTGTAAACACTGGAATGATATGACCTATCTTGCAGGATTTTAGTAAAGACTAAAGGGATAATGCCTAGTAGAGTGATTAGTTACCCCCAGGACTGGCTAATAATTTAAAGGGACAAAAGGAAAATGCAGATCCCCTTGTTAAAAAATTATTAAGGAAAAAAAATTATCAAGAAGGCAGCAGTAGAATAGCAAACTAAGCACAGGACCCTTCTGAGCACGGGACCCACCCTTGACTACACAGGCTGCATGGCTATAAAGCGGACTGTGGCTAACAGTGCTTGACATGGCAAGTGCTCAGTAAGTGTTAACTATTAGTAACCTAGGGTCCCTCTGAGTTCAAGATCTATTGGAAAAAGACAGAACACCCAAATAACTGCATCAGAAACAATGTGACAGATACTGAAGACAGTTGTGGGTGCCATTCCAGAATACACAATTAAAAAAAAGAACATTGGCAATCCAGAGTATGTGAGAGTAGTTATGATTTTGTAAAGTCATTGATGTCACTTTAGATACTGAAGTGGAATTTGGATGAAGACTATCAGTTTGCATTGTTAACCTTTTGATGATTATAATTATACTCTAAAAGCCATTTCTTCAGTGTAAAGAACAAAGCCTTTTGAGTCCGACATTTCTTATCTAACTAATAATAAGAACCATTCTGGACTTGAACATACCCTATTTCTGACACTATGCAAGATGCTTCCTGTGTATTATGTCATTAAATACCCCCAACAATCTTTGCAGGAAAGTACAATCATTAATCCTGTTTTTTACAGATAAGGAAAGCAAGAATCAGAGCGGTCAGGTGACTACCCTAAGGTTACCCTGGATAGCAGCAGAGGCACAAACTGAGCCTTATCTGGATCCAGAATCATAACCCCTAAATCAGATGCTCAGCCAGGGATCAGCTCGGTGATTTTGGTCAGGTTATTTTTCTTGCTCTAGCCTCTAGCTACTTCAGAGAGTGCTGAAGTTTGAATGAGTCTGAAGTTTATTCAGCCTAAGGGTAGACAAAATATGTCAAGGCTTTAGCAGACTTATTCTGGGATTTCCTCCCCCTCCCCCCATCTGATCTTTTAAGAGTTAAATTGTTGTGTCTTTATTGTAGAGAAATGTGTTAAAGACAGATCCATGAAGTGCCTGTAGTATTGAGATGGTAGTAAGTGGCACAAAAAAGAGATTGCTCAGGACTTCAGGTTCTCGCTCCTCTTATAAAAGCATCAAGTGTTTGTAAAAGCTTTTGCACCCATGTGGCAGAAATGGGCCACCATCCTATTGGTTTTCCTTGGTAGCTTTACTTTATAGCAGTGGCAGGCTTCCCATTAGGATAAAGGCATAGTTTTTAACCATAGTTCCAGGATACTCAGTGTCATAAAATAGGAAAAGGACCTGACTGACAGCAAGTCCCATTCTCCAATGCCTGCAACATCCTGAACTCCGTACTCTTGTCACTGCAAACTTAAAATATGTTGGCTGATGAACTTTGCCCTCTGGCTACTCAAATATCTGATTTTAAAATGCTCAGATTTGAAAGGCTCCAGTAGCTTCACTGTGCCCAGCTCTAAAACAGTTGAGGAAAGATTGTAGAATTTGCATGCTCCTGATAGCTTTTGTGCATTTTGCATTTTGTTTTTGGTACCAGGGATTGAACTCAGGGACACTTGGCCACTGAGCCACATCCCCAACCCTATTTTGTATTTTATTTAGAGACAGGGTCTCACTGAGTTGCTTAGGGCCTCACTTTTGCTGAGGCTAGCTTTGAATTCAGCGATCCTCCTGCTTCAGCCTCCTAAGCTGCTGAGATTACAGGCGTGCACAATCATGCCCAGATAGCTTTTGTTCATTTTTGTGCAGGCAGAGATAATATAATAATTGATTTTTCAGCCCATTTTCCTTGTCCAGAGATGATCAGTAATGCCCAAGAAGAATGCAGTTGGTACAGGTGTGATCAGATGATCAAGTCTTTTCTCTTTACACTGTACCACTGATGTTCAGCATTGCCTTCGTTTGCTTTAAGGACTGGGAATGGGATGTTGAGATGAGATGGAATGGCTTATTCACATGTGCTTTCATTTCTTCTCCAGAAGGGAAGATAAAGATATCTAAAAAAAAAAAAACTTTACAACTGTGCAGAATTCAGTCTCCCTCTACCACCATTTCCACCCTTTGTAAAGTCATAGGGAACCCCTTCTGTTTCCATATGCCTTTGACTACTTCCCTCCCAAGGTGCCCCCAAATCATTCAGACAACAAAGGCTGGTCTTTTGGGTGCCCCAGAAAATGGGAGCTACTTCCAGTTTTCTCCTGGTTTCTCTTTGTGAAAAAAGCATTTACGCCTCAGATGGACAAACTGGTATTTCTTTTGGAATGAAATCCTCATCTTCATTCTAGGTCTTCTTCATTTCCCATTCCTGAAGTATAGAAAGAAAGAAAAAGTCAGTTTGTTGTGAGTTCTAGTGTGACTGTAGGATAGAAAACATCTCACTGCACCTAATTATATATCTCCACTGTCCTGGTCCTACTTAGTCTCTTGTGATCCTGAATAAGACACTTCTCCATGCTTATCTTGTCCCCTCATCCATTCTCAAATAGTAGCCAGAATGATTATTTAAAAATGTAATTCATAAAACATCTTGCTCAAATCTGTCCAATGGCTTTCCATTATGTCAAACAAAATCCAAGTCTTTACAAAGGACTGGTTAACTATAGCCCATTGGCCAAATCTGGCTTGTTGTCTGCTTTTGTATAACCCATCAGCTAAGAATGCTTTCACATTTCTAAATAGATGTTTGGAAAAAAAAAGTACTTATTGCTTGGCCTTTTACAGGCCAGTTTCTGGTTCCTGTCTTAGCAGTCTGGGTTCCAGTTAGTTCCTCTCCCATCTCCATCTCCTAATGCTCACCCTTGGTTCCCTTCCTTGAAATCACTGGATCTGCTCAGTGTCTTCACCCATGTCAAGCTTCTTTTCCCTCATGAAGGACTTGGCAGTTGCTCTTGCTCTTTGTTCTTTCTGAATCACCCTTCCCTCAGATCCCTGCAGTTTGCTCCCTCATACTCCATTCATCTTCTCAAAAGTACCCCCCACCCCTGTCTTGTTTCCTTACTTATGAAATGAGACCTTTTCTGTCTTTAGGCTCAGAAGCCAGATGACTGAGCTTGTTAGAACTATGTGTTATCAAATAGTGAAAAAGTTCTGAATAAGATTGGAGGATTTTTTTTTTTTTTGACATTCAACAAAATACTTTTTATTTTTGCCATTATACATGTACTCTTTTTTGCATTACAATTCTAATATACATATATACCACAATCTTTCATATTTCTGTTTGTATATAACGTATGTTGGTACCAAATTCAAGTCTTCATACATGTATTTTGTATAATGATGACCATCACCTTCCACCATCCTTGCTAATTCCCTTCCCCCTCCCTCTAGATAGGGAAAAGGGGTGGGAGGGAAAGATTGGAGGATTATCTTTTTTGAGGAAACTATGTGTTATACTGTATGGGTGTATTAGTAATTCTCTGCCTTTCTCACTAGCCTTTCTCACTAGTTTTGTTTTTGGGTGAGGTTCCATATAAAGGGGAATACCAGATCTCTGATTTTGGTTAACTGAACTATTTGTATACCTTGGCTTTCTGTAGCACCCTTCCTTGGTTGGAGGTTACAATGGATGGGCTCCTCTTCCTCAGCTCAGAAACGCAGTTGACAGGGAGAGATTGATCTGGAACATTGTTTTGAGATTTACTTGCAGCTTCCTGTTGATGATAAAAAAAGAAGAGAAAAAGTTAAATAGGTGAGATCCAGTGCTGGCTACTGGCTGCTTGTACCCAGCCTGCCTTTAAAAGAATAAGGGGGGCTGGGGATGTGGCTCAAGCGGTAGCGCGCTTGCCTGGCATGCGTGCGGCCCAGGTTCGATCCTCAGCACCACATACAAAACAAAGATGTTATGTCTGCCGATAACTAAAAAATAAATATTAAAATTCATTCTCTCTCTCTCTCTCTCTCTCTCTCTCTCTCTCTCTCTCTCTCTCTCTCCCCCTCTCTTAAAAAAAAAAAAAAGAATAAGGGAACTTTAAAATAGAAGGTAAACATGCCAGTATTGAACAAAGTGGGAGGAAGAAGACACTGAGGGCCTGAGGATAAAGGCAGTGATAGATAAAATTACTGGGCCCTCACTCTGCCTGAGGCATTGCATGGATTAGCTCTTATAGCTTTTCAACAAGCCTATGAAGTAGGCACTATGATTAGTCATCCCATTTTACAGATGAGGAAACTGGGAAGGTCAAGTTATTGTGCAATATCAAAGGCTGGTAAGTATCAGAGCTGGGATTGAAACTCCACAGCCCACCCTTTTTTGAAAGTGGAAGGGGTGTTGAGGATTGAACCCAGAGCTGCATGCATGCTAACTAAATGTTCTACCACAGAGCTATACAGCCTTACTTTTAGCCTCTCTGGTATTCCTTCTTATTTTCTACACTACTGTTACCCATTATATTTTCTAGATAATTGCTTAATACTATACTGGATGTAGTTATTTAAGTGTGATATCTTAACAGCCAAGCCTGTAAGGAATTTGGAGAAGACTTCTATATGTCTTCAGAGGGTATCAACAGGATGAAAAGCAGAGGGAAAAAGCATTCTGGACCAGGTACATCAGGGAATGCTGGTGGGAGGAAGCAGCCGTGATGAATGAATCAGATCTGGCTCCTCCACCAGCCCTCTGTGACTCTGGCCATCAGGTTTTTCGTCAATAAAATGAGGTTGGAAACGCCCAATGGAGAGGAAGTATAAGGGTGTACGACAGCTCTAGCTTCAGGTTCATGGGTGTGGTTTTCCCAGATACTGTGACCTGGAACAACAATAATACAGCCCCTAGTGACAGCTCATACTTATCAGACGAATTATTTCATCTCTTTGATGGTCTGAAAGCAGGCAAGGCATTTATTAATTCAACAAACATTATACTCCTACAATTATTCAGAGCTAGGAATGAAATGACAAACAAATCAAGCACAGTCCAATTTTTTTTTGTAATACTGGGGACCAAATTTAGGACCAAACATTCTACCACTAAGCTATATACCTTGCCCATAATTCTCAGTAAAAATACATATTAGGGGGAGGCAGACATTATACAAACAAGGACACAAATACATACACATACATACAAATTAAGGTTAAGTGCTATGAGGAAAAATAATAGATGGGACTATTGGTAATTTAGACCAATGGTTCCTAACTAGGGTGATTTTGCTCTCCCAGGGGATACCTAGCAATTTCTGGTGCCATTTTGGGTCATAATGGGTCGGCTACCAATGGTAGTCAATGGGTGCAGGCTAGGAATGCAGCTAAACATCCTAGAATATACATAATAGTCTCCTATAAAAAGGATCACTGGATCCAATATCTATACAGCTGAAGTTGAAAACCTTGAGAGAGTAGGTCCGGGAGTTCTCCCTGAGAAGGTCCTGCTGGAGGTGAAAGTATTGCCCTTGCTGAGCTGTCAGGAGTGTTAGAGATGGTGGATGTCAACCTTGAGGACAGGACCTTATGCTGGAGATGCCAGGAGAGGGCATGTACCATGGTGGTAGAGCAGAGTTCTGCCATCAGACTTCCTGGATTTGGAACCCTGTGAGTAACCTTGAGCAAGTCATTCAAGACCTGTGACCCTTAGTTTCCTTGTCTGTCAAATGAGGTTAATACAAGTAATGCTACTTCTTAGGACTGCTGCGAAGATTGAGTAATTCAGGTGAAGATCATACACTGATGGCAGTGGATCAATACGTTTGTGAGTCAACATATGGTAGCTATTATTATCACCAGCAACCCCAAGGCCATTTCTAAGATCAACCTCAGGACAAAAGTCCAACTGTGGGGCTGCTGTGGAGAGAACAGGCCAAAGAACCAGAACTTGCTTACAGGAGTTCCCTTCTTGGCTGTGTCGAAAGTGGCATGTGCCCTCACCTCTCTGGGCTTCAGTTTTCTCATATGGAAATGAGCATAACTCCTATCTCCAAACAACAATCATAATGGAGACATCTGCAGCATGTGAGGGGATAGAGGAGCAGCTTCCTCCCCTGCATAGATGGCAGTAGACTCACCCCACTCTTGTTTTTGCTGCTCATGGAGAGCCCCAGGGCTGGACCCCCTGCCAGGGACTGCTGCAAGTGCTCTTTCACAGCCACGAGCCTCAGTTCTAGGTCGATCCTGTGTTCCTCCTTTGCCCGACACTCAGCTTCCAGGGTGGCCACAGCTTCCTCCAGAGCCTTTAACTTTGCTCCTGAGTCCAGAGACACTGATGAGACACAGCCCAGCCTGACCAAAGCTCAAAGATTTTTTTGTCAGGGCCTCTGGCCCTTGTCTGTCCCTCCCAGAGGACCTTTTCAGAACCTTAACGACAAGGACTTTGGGCCTGGGCTTCTAGTTCTGTGTTGAGTGTGTGTGGTCTTTACCTGCCTAGGACCCATCTTCTGGAATTAGCATTCCCCCTCTCATTTTCTGTAGTTTAAGTAGGGCCTACCCTATTTCTAGTTCAAAAGTTTTGGCATATAACTTAGGCCTAACTCATAATCACCTCTCACCTTCTGGTCACAGTGAGTGGCTTAAAAATCAGAGTTGGTTCAATCAGAGTGAATCCTGAGGTTTTGTAGTGCTTATGGGGGAGAAGCTCCACTGGGATGGCTAAGAGGGTTGGGTTAGGGTTGAAGCTTTGCAGTGGTTGTGCCACCACAAGAGGGAAAGAATGAAACCAAAATGGAGGAAAGCACAAATATAAGTTAGATAAGCTTCCTGGAGACATCATTTAAGCCCCTAGACCTCACTGCACATGATCTCTCAATTTTAAAGTTATGTTTTTCTTCTTTTCATTTCTATGTAAGTCTAACCAGGCTCACAGGAAATCTATGAGTAAGCTCCAGGAGCTCCTGAAATTATTCCCAATATTTTGAATTGTGATTTTTTTTTTTTTTTTAAGGAAAGTCTGCAGGTTTATCAGATTCTCGTAGGGCTATATGGTCTTGAACATGTTCTATAAGGATAGGACTTCTGTTTCTTCCAGAATGTGGAGAAACCTCAGGCTGAAAGCATGGTGAACTGTATTTAAAGGAAACACAGCAGAAAGGGTGTGGAGGAACTCAGAGTAGGCAGGGATTTCAGAAGAGGAGCCTGGGAAAGTATCACTGTTCCTCATTCCCACCTGGGACCAATGTCTCACACATCATCTGTGAATGAATGAATGCAAGATTCAAGATGATCTCTCAGGAAATGAGATTACCAGGTACTAAGGTCACTTCTGTTTTTCATGCTTCTGAAGTCAGGCTTTTTCAACCTCTCATATATTTATGTAACCCCCTAAGGAAATAAGTGTACACATTATTGTGATGCTTTTCCATTTTCTTCTCCCAAAGTGGTTATTAAACTGAAGGCACTTTTTTTAGTTAGGGGGAATTTTGATGTAATAATGAAGAGGAGGAGGCAGGGGAGAAGAAGCACACCCTCCTGTGTGGGCAACTAAATAACTTGTGCAAGAAACTTCCCCTTGTTGTGACAGGGAAGGTGCCAAGGCTGAGCCACCCACAGAGGCTCAGGACCACAACCACACAGGTACCTGGGCTGTTCCGAATGGCTTCCCGCAGCTCCCTCTTCTCCTGCCGAAGTGCCATCAGCTCTGTCCGAATTGTCTCTTTCTCTTTCTCCAGCTTCTCTTTTTCTACCAGGTATCTCCGGGCATCCTCCTCAGCTCGGTTCTTGCCATACTTGTATTGATTGGCACCTGAAGAGATTTGGGGAAGAAAAAGGCCCTCAGTTCTGACCTCTAGTGAGGTGGGTGGATAGGGTTAACTTTTCTCTCAGCCTTATCTTCTCCATCTATCAAATGGGAATATTTAGATCTATTCTCTTTCATATAGAGAGCAAAAGGGAGGCCCCACAGCACAGGGACTAGAAGCAAGGGCTTTGCAACTCAGAGAAGGGGTTTGCATTTGCATTCTTTCTTTCCCTTAGTGGTTGTGTCTTCAGGCAGAAGTGAATGGTGGTGCTTTTGTGCCTTTTTGCTGAGGCCTCAATTACCTTATATGTAAATAAGGATACTGATAACATTTAACTCATGGGGTGTGGAAAGATTTAAAGGAGGTATTTAAGGAAAAGTATTTAGCATAGTATCTGGCACATGGAGAGTGCTTAGTAATTGTTAGATAATAATGATAGTCATATATAACAACAAATTTTATGAGGTATAACACACTTTGATTTTTAAAAGGGCATGCTTTATGTGAGGCAACTCTTTTATATATATAAATGATAGGGAGATAGCTACACATAATTCAGATTCATAGAGAATCCAGACTTTGGCTAAAGGCAGGCATTTCCCATTGTATTCCCGGGGGAAGGGTGGGGAAAGGGAGAGACTTAGTATTCTACTGTAGGTTGAACATGATGGTGGACAGTAACAACCAATAATCATGGCAATAATTAATTAAGCATTTACTATGTGCTAGATACTTATATGCTAAGTGAAAACTTGCATTTTCACATTTAATCCTTATAAGATGTATTCTTTTATTATTAGTTCTATTTATTTATTTAGATATATTTATTATTATTAGCTCTTTTATTGTTTAGGAAACTGAGACACAGAGACATTAGTTTTCACTGCTAATGGTGACAGCTCAGTTGAACCTATGTCTGTCTGAACATGGCATTTTTTTTTTTTAAATGGGTATCAGGGAATGAACTCAGGGGTACTCAACCACTGAGCCACATCCCCAGCCCTGTTTTGTATTTTATTTAGTGACAGGGTCTCACTGAGTTGTTTAGTGCCTTGCTATTGCTGAGGCTAGCTTTGAACTTGCAATTCTCCTGTCTCAGCTTCCTGAGTCACTGGGATTTCAGGTGTGTGCCACCACACCCAGCTCATGCCATATGTTGATGCTTGAACTGGGCCAAGGCCAAAGTCCAGTCTCTCTGGGGAAATTATAGCCTTTTGGAAGCTGGTGGGGCGTGGAATGATTCCTATGTTTTGCTGATAATTGGGGTGTCTTGTCTGTCTAGCTTTTCTAGGATTACAGTAGTCACCTAACAACCCATGCAAGAATCAGGTCTTACCATAACTACCATACAGTTAAAATCTGGATCATAAATACAACATGGAGGTAAGAAATCCGTACCTTCTCTACTTTTCCAGATACACAGAGGCATGCCAGGAGAATTCACTCCTAGACTTTTGAATTTGTAGTTTGTTTTTTTTTGGTACTGGGGATTGAACCAGTGGCTTTACCACTGAGCTACCTCCCCAGCCCTTTTTACTTTTTGAGACAGGGTTGATCTCACTAAGTTGCTGAGGATGGCTTTGAACTTGAAATTCTCCTGTATCACCTTCCCGAGTTGCTGGGATTATAGGCATGGGCCACTGTGCCTGGCCTGAATTTTGCAGTCTTATAAAATAAATAAATAAAAGGAGGAGGGTATATTAACAAAGAGTTATCAACATTTTATCATTTCATTGTATCAGATGAAGACCTTTTTTGTGCTATTACTGTTATACATGTTCCATCTATATATGTTCAAAACCCAACAATGAAGAGTTACAATTTTTATTTTATATAATTTTAAGTCTACTAAAGAAGTTGAGAAATGAAAGAAAAGCAAGGATATATTTGCAGAGCTTGTTCTCTTAACCTTCTTATTTACCACTTGGCATCATTTTCTTACCCCCACTCACCTCCTTTGTATCATTATTGTCAGTTTTTTACATTTCTTTATATACTATAGGCCCACAAAATGCAAATAAATATGGTTGTATACAATTGCTTTTCCAACTCAGTAAGAGAATAAATGAGACAAAATATGCATTTGTATTTTTATAATTACTTAATTACCTTTACCAGTGCTGTTTTTGTTGAATTAAAATTGCTGTCTGGGTTACATATTTTCAAACTGAACAATTTCCCTTTGCATATCTTGTAAGGTAGATCTACTAGCAACAAACTCTCAGTTTTTACTTATCTGGAAATGTCCTTGTTTTATCTCAATTTTTTGAAAGATATCTTTGCTGGATATAGGATGTGAATTGACAGCTCCCCCAAACATTGACAGTGTTTTGAGTATGTCATCCCACTACTTTCTGGCCTCCTCTATTACTGATAAGAATTTGGCTGTTAATCTTATGTTTGTTTTTTTTTTTTAAACTTATATGTGCATTTTTGTGTGTGACGAGATAATTTTCTCTTCTGCTTTCACGATTTTCTCATCTTTAGTGTCAGTGTTTTAATGATGAGTTCTTTGTGAATCCTCTTGCCTTTATCTTACTTAGAGTTTGCTGAGCTTTTTGGATATGTAGATTGTTTTTCAATAAATTTTGCAAGTTTTTGGCCATTCTTTATTTGATTTTTTTTCTTTTCCTCTTTTTTCTCCTTTTGGTATTACCTTTATACATATATTAGTGCACTTAAAGGTATTCCACATTTCTCTGAGACTCTGTTCACTTTTCTTCCTTCTTTTTACTTTCTACTCTTCAGCTTACACAGCCTTTTTATCTGTTTTCAAATTCACTGATTCTTTCTTCTGCCAGTTCAAATCTACTGTTAAGTCCCTCTAGTGAGTTTTTCATTTCAGTTATTGTACTTAGCAGTTCCCTAATTTCCATTTGGTTCTTCTTTTTATAATTTCTATTTTATTATTGATGGTCTCAATTTGATAACACATTATTACCCTCCCTCATTCTATCCCTCCCTCCCTCCCTCTCTTCATGGATTGAACCCAGAGGCAGAGATATATCCCCAGTCTTTTAAAATTTGAGATAGGGTCTTGCTAAATTGCTGAGGCTAGACTCAAAACTTGCAATCCTCCTGCCTCAGCCTCCTGAATCACTAGAATTATAGGCATGTGCTACCAGGTTCAGCTTACCTTTATTTCTTTGAATGTATTTATAATGGCTATTTTGAAATTTTTGTTAAATTCTACATCTAGATCCTTTCATAGACACTTTTTGTTGCTTGCTTTGCCCGCTTTGAATGGCTCATGCTTTCATGATTCTTTACATGTCTCATAATTTTTTGTTGAAAACTGGTCACTTTACTATATTATAGCATCTTTAGATATTTATTGATTTTGCCTTCCTCTCAAGGATTGCTATTTGCTTAATATTTTAGTGACTTGGCTAGATATTTTAGTGAAGTCAGTTTTCTCTAGCAACGTGAAACCTCTAATATTGCTCCTCAGAGGACATAGTACTTTGCATGGGTATAATCACCCTGGATGGCAATGGTTTTAGTAGGGTTCTCTCTGACTCTCTCCTAGATCTCTCTCTTAAGCTGTCTGCTGCTGTTAACCTAACACCCAGACATTAGGTTCTACTAATTGTTAACTAATTGTTGTTTTTGAAAATGCTCTGGGGCATAAATTGCTCCATGGTCTGATCCAGTTAAATTCAGTCCCTTTACAGGATAGATTTTGGGGCCAGTCTTTGAGATTAGTTCCTAATGCTGTTCTTCGCTGTCTTTGTGGTTCTCTCTGATCAGCTAGTGGCCTGTGGTTTAGTTTATTACTCCTGTGGAGCTCCTAGCCTCTTCTTGTTTACCACCAATCTCCATTGTGTTTGAGAGTACCTTTTACTTTGAACTTCGCTACACTGTGTTGCACCCAAAGTCAGTTTGTTTGTTTGTTTAGTTTTATATGGATACAATATCTTTATTTTGTTTATTTGTTTTTATGTGGTGTTGAGGATCAAACCCAAGCACTCTGCCACTGAGCAACCCAGCACCAAAGTCAGTTCTTTTGAGAGAGAACGTTGGAGTTCTCTGTTCTTATGGCCCACCTTTTCCCCTGGCCAGAATCCCTGAGTCACTGCTCTAGATGTGGGGGTAGAAACATTGGCCAGTGTCATCTGAATGTTTTTCTTCTCTAAAAGTTATGTTGAAACTTAATTGCTATTGTAATAGTATTAAAAAGTGGCACTTACCCCCGAAAAGTGCGACCTTTAAAAAGTGATTAGCTTATGAGGGCTCCACCCTCATGGGTGGCAAATTCCCCTGTGTGGTTGTGCACACCTGTAATCCCAGTGGCTAGGGAGGCTGAGGCGGAAGGATTGCAAGTTCAAAGCAGGCCTCAGCAATTTAGTGAGGCCCTGTAAGCCACAAAACAAAAAACAAACAAACAAACAAAAAACAGGGCCGAGGATGTGGCTCAGTGGTTAAGCATGTCTGGATTCAATCCCCAGTACCTTCTGTCATGTGATGATGCAGCAAGAAGGCTCCTGCCAGATGCTGGTACCTTGATCTTGGACTTTGCAGTCTCTAGAAGCATGAGGCAATAATTCTCTTTTTGTTATAAATTACCAGTTTCAGGTATTCTGCTATAGCAGCACAGAATGAACTAAGACAGCTTGCTTGTCTTGGAGTGGCATTCCTGCCTTATGAGCAGGGTGCAGGACTGGGGCAGTAACTTTTGGTTTTCTCTGCTTGCCTCCTTCAGCCTGGAACCTCTCTGTCTGGTTGAACTGGAAGGAGGGCATTCAGGCTCCAAGTACTTGTGAGCTGGCCCACCTTGGGTAAAGCCTGTACCCCCAAAGAGTTGGGTGGAGAAGGGAGCTCCCTGTCTTTCTGCTGCATTCACTTGGAATTTAGCCTCTGCAACATGGAGCTGGGCAGGATGAGAAATGCTGGTAGCTTGTCCTTGGGGAGACACTGTAGCCCTTAAAGGAGCTAGGGGAACAGTGAGCCATGTTTTCTCATCCACACTTGCATGGAGCAGACACTTTATTTTTTCATACTGAACAGGGGGTGGGGGTAGAAGAGGGTAAAGATGTGGGTTGTGGCTTAAATGCCGCTCACTCTCACTGTTCTTACTGAGATTTAGCACATTTTCTAGAATATGTATTTATTCATTTCTTATATGCCCTTAACAATTTCTAGAGATTTTAAATGATTGTTTTAATAATTTTCTTCAGTTACAGTTGTTTTTTCTCATGTCACTATTTTTCTCAGTAATAAACTTGGCCTCCACAATTTTTACTTTTTGATATTCATGCCCTTTTGTGGTCCTTTCCCACAAAAAACAAGGCTGAGCTGTATAATATTAGGATATTGCAGAAATGACAAGACTATGACTTCTAAATGTAGATCATAAAAGACATGTATTATCTGCTTGCTGCTCCCTCTTAGGTTGTGTGCTCTGGGGGAAGCCAGTTGTCACATCATGAGGAATTGCAACCCTATGAAGTGGTGCCCATTGCAAAGAACTGAAGCCTCCTTCCAACACCAGCACAAACTTGCCTGGCATGCGAGTGAGCCATTTTAGAAACAGATCCTCCAGTCTGGCAAGCCTTCAGATGACTTCAGGTGATGGGACAATTCTTGACTGCAGCCTCATGAGAGGCTCTCAGCCAAAACTACATAACTCATTTACTCAGGATTCCCAAACAGCAGAAACTGAACCACTAAATTTTGGGTATTTTGTTATATTGTGATAGAAAATTAATATATGATATTGTGCAAGTCTCTTTTGCTGTAGACTGATTATGAACCTCCCAAATTCCTATTTGAGGTGGGTCTTTTGTAGGTGGGTAGGTCATGAGAGTGGAGCCTTCATAAATGGTATTAATGCCTTTACAAGAGACCCCAGAAAGTAAAAAAAAAATGGCTATCTATGAAGCAGAAAATGGGTCCTCACAGACAGAAATCTGCTGGCGCTTTGGACTTCCCAGCCTCCAAACTATGAGAAATAAATTTCTATTATTTATAAGTCATTCTGCTTATAGTATTTTGTTATAGCAGCCTAAATGGGCCAAGACACCTTTTATTTATGTTCTTCAAACAATGTTGTTGGACTACATTAGTGGTTACATTAGTGGTTTCCCACCACTCTTCAAGGAACATGTGACTTCTTAGTGATGGCCAACACTGATAGCTAGGGGAATGAGTGGGCTTCAACAAGAGTAGCTCCGTTTTTACATCTCTTTCGTAAATTGGTCTTTCTGCTTATTTCAGTTTTTCATTTTAAAATGGGCTTTTCATAAGGCCCTGTATTTCCAGTGCCTATGAATAGCATATAAAGAATGTTACCCAACATTTCTTTAGTTGTTTAGAGAAGGAGCTCAAAACATGCTGCCCCCCCTACTTTTCTTTCTTTTTTCCTTAATGCTGAGAATGGAACCCAGGGCCTCAGGCTTGCAAGGCAGGTGTTGTAGCAATAGCTACATCCCTAGCCCAAGGAGGGAATTCAGACCTAGAGATGGGAAAGGACTTTACCAAACTTGTCTTCCAAAGAAGACAGATCATCTCACTCCCAGGAGGGAAGAACTACCCAAATGAAATGGAGCTATAGTAAAGTTTTTTTTTTTTTTTTTTAATCTTAAAAAAGCAAAGAATAGAACCTCATTTTTTTTCAGGTGCAAAGGAAGAAAAGTAAGGAAGGAAGAAAAAAACTCTTGGAACAGGCTTTCCTACAGGAAGCTGGCTTCTCATAGTATAGCAATAGTTCACATGGGTGCAGAGGTTAGTGTTAGAAATCAGACAGAACCTAAAAGAGGCATCTGATGTACTTAGTTATCATTGTGCAGTGTGGCAATTGAGTAATTCACCAAGACCCACAGCATGCTAGGTGGAGCTCGGCCTGGGACAGAGGTGAGCCATGGCTCTCACGGCAGCCCCCTCCAGGTTGTGTGGAGGGATTTAGTTCTCCACTTATAATCACAGATCAGAAATCATAAATTATTAGCTTTGGAAACAGATACAGCTTGAAGATGACTTCTCTCATTGTCCCTCTCTCTCTATATATATATGCATATGCTTTATATGCATATGCATATATAAAACAGTGTTAAAATTTATAAAAATTAATTACTAACATTATTAAAATTTCATATAAAGTCCAGATTTCTGGCATTTTGAATAATCAGTAAATCTGGCAACAGGGGCTGGCACTGGACCACTGAAGTGAGCTAGCGGTCACCTATAGAGTTGGGCCTGAGTGCTCCAGTTCCCTTAGCCCTACCTCCAGTCAATTTCCCTCTGAGGCTATCTGCCAGCTTCCTTTTTTTCAGTGTGCATGTGTTGTTACCTTTTTTTTCAGTGCTAGAGAAGAACTCAGAGCCTTGTGCATGCTAGGCAGGTGCTGTACCATTGAACAACACCCCAATCCCTATTACTTTTTGTAGGGCATTTTCTTATGACTGACTTTACTCATTTATTGACCTGCCTGAACCTGGAGGAATCTGATTTTGAGAACTGTGCTGTAGGCTGCTTCCCTTTCCTGTCCCTGCTTAGCAGGGAAGGCCCACACAGAACTCACTGGAGGCATGGCGTTTGACCTTGACCTGTGGATCCACTCGATGGGACTTCTCACTGCAGGAGGAGGCATGGCGTTTCACCTGGGCTCCAGTGGGGCGCTCAGGTTCCTCATCCTAAGTGGGAGATGTAGGAAAATGATTAAGTGCAGGAGGCTAAGGCTGCAATGCAGGGATGTGTTCCCTGTCCGTTTTGAAATTTGTGCTGTACTTGACAGTTTATAAATAACTTTCCCTGGTGGTATATTATTTGAATCTCCTACTATCAAAGGCAGCAGAAGGCAACTCTAAACTGGAGTACCTATGAGAGGAGAACTAGGAAGTCTGAAAAGACTGTGGTATGCTGCCACAAGCATTCTGGGACATGTGACAGGTACCGAGGACTCAAGCTCAATGAGCTGACTCCTCCTTGGTTTTGTGAGCAAAACAGGGAGACAACCCTGTTTTGCTGAAATCTAGACTGAAAGCCTTGCAGGTGGCCAACAGGCAGCATCTACCCCTAACAACATGGAACGAATAGCTCAGTTCAGAGTGGTAAGCAGAGGAGGAGAGCCCAGCTCCTTGCTGAAAGTGGACATAGTGCCTTACATTTCTGGAGTGCTTAACAGTCTAAAGAGCCTCTTTTTCCTCCTGACCTGGGGCTCTTTCCACTGTACCACCCGGCCTCCTGTGCTAGGGATTCCTCCTCCTGAACCATCATCTGTCAAAAGATGGGACTCCCCTTTGAGCAGCCAGTTAAATGAAAACCATTTCTCTGAAGCAAAGGATAAAAGGGTCACTGAGGGAAAAAAAGAAATAGAAGAAATGGCCTTTATTATGTTCCCAGGCAACCCCAAGGGACCATACCTGCATCTTTTCATAAGGAACATCATCATAGACTCTGGGCTCAGGCCACTGATCCTGGCAGGATCTTGCATATCTAGAAAATGAAAGGTACAATGATGGTGATGGCAGTTTGCAGTTTATAGTGTTTTCCTGTCCACTCTCATTTGATCCTGGCAGCAGCTCTTAATGTGGGTCAGCAGATCATGTGCTGTGTGAGCACTTCACGGGAAGGGACCCACATGATTCTCACAATAGCCCAGAGGGGAAGCGATTCATCAGAGCCTTTCTGTAAGTCAGGAAACAGAAGATCCAAGATGGCAAGCAACCAGCCTACATTTCTACAGCTGGTGGTGATAAAGATGGGACTTGAACCTAGAGTCTCCAATGCTTAACTCCATGGAATAGCCACATGTCCACCTGCATACTCAAGGACAGCTTAACGTCTAGTAGCCTGAGGGCCGACCCCATTACTCCAGGGCTTCCCCAGTTTTGCTCATTCCACAGCTTGCCTTGACCCTGGCCTACGTCCCTCAGCCAGTTCCTTCCCCCATGTTGTAAGGGGAAGGTACCCACTCTAGCTTCCCAAGCTCTTCCTCCCTTTCCTTCCAGTGCCCAAGGCTGGACACAGATACATTGAGATTGAGCTGAGACAGGAAAAGTCATGGGCAGCTGTGTGCCAAGGGACTGGCCCTTACAGGAAGGAGTTGCGCCCAGCACTGACAATGCTGGTTAAGGTCTCCACGTCCACGTAGTCATAGTGCAGCGCCTCTGGAGTGACTTTGGAGCCCATCTCCACCAGCAGCAGCCCAAGCCAGCGACCCATGTCCTCTGAACAGCTCGCCTGGGGGAGAGGAGGCACAGTGAAGTCATTTTCACACTGTTGGGCCTCTGGCTTCCTGCTCATTTCAGCCAAACCCACAAATATTTATAAGTGCCTATTATGTACCCACTTCTTAGGAACCAAAGAGGAATAAGACTTGGGGTCTGTGCAACCATTTGGATATAAAAACAACATTTAGGTGTTCTCTGAAATTTTTGAAAACGACTTACTTTTCTCTTAGGGGAAGCAATTGCTCATACAACTCAATTTTTACTTGCATTGTAATTGCCAAATAATTACAGTACTGTAGGGGAAGCCTCCTGTAAGTTGCTGGTTAGCTAAATGCATACTTAATTCTCATTTAGAAAGCATTGTTATAAAATCAACTTAGCTTGCAGATGATAAAAATGAATAAAGAAAGTACACTTTGTGCTAGAAAGCTCTGTATCTAAGTTAAAGAAATAAGAGACCTATCTGAAGCTATGAGAAATAAAAGCAAATTACAGAGGCAATATTTCTTGAAATTTAAGAACTGAGAGAGGCAGTTGGTAACTGGGCAAAGAGAACAAGATCAACAGATTGAGTTTTAATCCTGTGGGGCACTATGTAAATTATTAGACAACCCTGGCCTCAGTTTCCTTATCTATAATACAGGAAGGTAGGTATTTTAAGTTTTCTTCCAGTGTCAACATTTTAAATTCGAAATAGTCAGTAGGATTCTGAGAGTCAATGTGTTTTGCATGACCTCCGGAGGAACTCAGTGCCTATGGGTAGGAAGCACAATGAATACATGAAATGAATTCATGTTTCATTTATCCATTGTGCAACAAATGCTTATTGAGTGCACAGTATATGCCAGGCATCATGCAGATTTCTAGAAAAATAAAAGTATGCAGAACAGGCATGGTTTCAGCTTTTGTGGAATTTAAAGATTTAAACTCTATAATATAGAGAAAATCTTTCTAGAAATTTGAGTTGCTTGATGAGAAGAGTAGGCTACGTCAGAGGGCAGTGGTTCATCTGAGGTGGACTGCTGGGAAGGTTTTATGGGAGACTCTAGAATCAAATCATGGTTAGACCAGATGAAATGCCTTTCAGATTTGGGATTTCAAGGTCAGGGAGGATAAATATACTTTAGTTCTAAGGCAGTCAGAATTAGGATTAAAAACCCAAAATGCTCTGTTAAATTAGAATTTCAGATGAACAACAAATAATTTTTTAGTATATTTAGTATGTCATCCAAGATTTAGTATGTCACACATAATATACAAAATATCATAGGTACACATGTTAAAAGCATGATTTGCCGGGTACTTAGAATAGGCATTTAGGCGTGTGTCCCCTGTGTTATCTTGCAAACCTGCTGGCTCACTGACAGTAGCACTTGCTTTCCCCTGCAGCGTCCTTGGGCAAGGTTCCCAACAAAAACAGGACCCTTGGGCCAGAGTCCCACCACAAGGCCCATCTGGACTCTCTCCTCTCACCTCCAGGATGGCCACCTCCTGTCGGTTACGCAGGATCCTGAAGGCAAATGGGTGTCTGGGCCCAAAGCCCGGAGCCACCTCACAGCCCCGGAGGGCGATTGCGTTCACGTGGGTCCGCAGGTCTGCGCGGTCCTTGTGGAAATACAGTGTGTTGCATTTGAGGCGGCACCAGCGTTCCTTCCAGCCCTGGTTCACCAGCACATGCAGATAGCCTGGGAGGGGGAGAGAGCAGTGGCTTGACCTCCCCACAGTCCACCTTGGACAAATCCCATTTGGGGCTGCAAATTTGGTGCATGGGCCACAGCCCGGGACAGAGTGCCAGACCACCCTTGCACCCGCTGGAAAAAAGGTCTCTGCGTTCTTTTGGATCAGCTCACACGCCCCTGCTTGTGATGGTAGGCATCCTCTTTCTGAGTTTCAGTTTCCTAGCTGTGAAGTGGGTACGGATAATCCCGCTTGCACATCACTGCACAGCCCTGGGACCACACCAAGTGTGATGAAAAGAGCAAGAGCTGCTCCATAAATTGTATAAAGACACAACTCGACTCTCCTCCCCTCCCCAAATCCAGAATTTACCCAAAGATAGAAAATAGTGGATGGTGCTGACACCTAGTGGCAGAGTATGGGAACAAAACTAGCCGGTCAAGGGAAAGAATTATAAAATTGAAATCAAGGCCCAGACTGCTCCATAGCTAACCACAGGTGCGCTTAGAATTCCCTCTTCTAATAAATAGATTAAAATTTATTATATTATTTTACCGTAACAATCCTGGACTCACTGATATATATATATATATATATATATATATATATATATACACACATATATTAACTTTTTTTAATATTTAATTTTTAGTTTTAGGTGGACACAAAATCTTTTATGTTTATGTGGTGCTGAGAATAGAACCCAGTGCCTCACACATGCTATGCAAATACTCTACCACTGGGGCTGGAATGTGGCTCAAGTGGTAGCGCGCTCGCCTGGCATGCGTGCGGCCTGGGTTCGATCCTCAGCACCACATACAAAGATGTTGTGTCTGCCGAAAACTAAAAAAAAAAAAAAAATTAAAATCAAATACTCTATCACTGAGCCACAACCCCAGTCCCCCTGATTACAAAATATTTTGTGTTTTTCTTTTTCTTTCTTTCCTTTTTTTTTTTTTACAACAAAATGTTTTAAAAAAATGTTTTTTTACAACAAAATGTTATAGTCACGTTCTCTTATCCTATTATTTTTTTTTAGTGGTAGAAGAATATTATTGCATATCCAAAACAGCTTTTTCTTTTTGTGGTTCCAGAGATCAAAACTGGACCTTATGCATGCTAGGCAAGTGCTCTGCCTCTGAGTTACCCCCATCCAGTCTAAAAATAGATGATTTCTTATTGGATTACAGTAAATGGAATGCTGCATCTATATGAAAAAATGTTTTGTCTCCGAAAGCCCTTTTCACTCACATTGAATGCATTTATATTGAAAGGTACTTAAATATTCTAATCCAAATCTCTTTATGAGACTGGTTTTCAACTTACATATCTGGCATGTTATATGCTATGAAATGTTACTCCCCTCTCATTATAGAGGAGGAAACTGAGACCCCAAGATGGGCAGTGATTTGGGCCAAGGTCATAGGGAGTACAGAAATATGGGGGTCGGTGGATCTTTTCTTTCACTGAGAGGGCCTCACAGGAGCTAATTGATGGCAGGGCGTGGATGTTGGTGAAGTGGGGTTTAGCCATGCAGAAGACTGGAATTCTCTTCCCTGCCCTGGGAGCCAGGTAGATGAGGCACGGAGGATCTCCTGGCTTTAGCCCTAGGTGCCTGAATGCCCTTGCTCTCCACATCCTGTACCCACCACAGCAGGGGACCTCCTCCTCTGCAGAGGACGTCTGCAGGTCTTCAGCCAGTGCTTTTTTCTTGGAGAAGCTGATGATGCGGGTGATCTTGCGGCCTGCAGCTCTGCTCATGGAGCCCTTCAGCTCTGCCAGGCTGCTCTTCTTCCCTTTACCTGTTGCAGCAGAGATGGGTCAGGGGAGGAGAAGGAGCCCCTTGTCCCAGTTCCATCCATCCCTGGCCTTCCCAGCAGCCCTTTCAGCTGGCACACAAGGAACTAGTATGCAGTTCCAGTTATGACAGTCCAGGTGGTTTAACCCAGGTCTCCTGGACCGGCTCTGCCACTGTGTACCCGCAGCTAAGGCCCCTCCTAGCTCTGGCAATCTTCAGCCTGAGCCAGCAGAGGCTCCTACCATGTTCGCAGGTCTCCCGGCGGCTGAGGGTAGAAGCACTGTCTCCCATGCCTAGGCTGTCGGAGTCTGAGGTCTGCTTTTCTTGGGACAGCCACTGAGAAGGGACACAGACAGCCTTACCTCAGAGGAGACACTCAGAAGTACCCTTTTATTGGTTTAGTTTCCCCAATTCCCCACACACATGATAATCAGTTTAACGAACACTATAATGTACCTGGTATATCGTGTCAGGTATGGAGAGGACAACAATGACTTACTCATGGTGTGTCTTCGTTGTATAGTCTATTAGGGATGAGGCAATTAGTCATCACGCATTGACAGCAGTGTCCTAGAGTTTGCACTGTGTTTGGCAAGTGACAGGGAGCTGGGAGTGAATGTAGTGGTATGCTAATGTAATCCAGTGGTGTTGTGGGGATGGACAAGAGGGGCCAAGACTGAATGCAAAAGAGCCTATGGATATACATGTCACTCCTGGTCAGATGAGACTCCAGAAGGGGGCGAGCCAAGGTGACAGCAGGGATGACAGAAAAGGGATGGGCCAGCAGACATTTTCAAAATAGTTGAGACAGGACCTTGTGACCCATAGGAGTCCATTATGATCCCAGCTTTGATGGGAGAATGATAAGCGTGCGTGCAGACACACACGTTAGCAAGTTCATTGCCAGCCAACATTATTTTTACTCATACCAACTCCAGACCAATCATACATTCATTGATTCAGTCATACAAGGTCAAGGTAGCCTGTAAGGTAGAGCAGAGTAGTTAGACAGATCTTGGAAGAAATTAGAAACCTACTCTCATTTTTTAGCTGTGCACATGTGGGAAAATCCTCTCATCTTCCCCAGGTTGGTTTTCTCATCTGAATTACTCCCCCTTCAGAAGGCTGCTGTGAGGCACCAGAGAGATGGCCCAAGGGAAGCTATGAGGCCAATAGGTTGTATCATTCTTAACACCTGTGTGAAGGGCTGTTCTCCTGCTTCAAGAAGCTAAACTGTGCCAGCCAGGCCTGGGACAGGGTTAAAATGATACCCACCCACTTAAGAAGGCAGAATTACAGAGCTGAGGCCCCTGCCAAGGATCCCCAAGATCAGGCCCAGGGGTGCTTCGTGATAAGCCCCATCCTAGGAAGCAGGGAGGACACGAGAGGTCATGGGCTCTCCTGTTTATGTCCATAGGACTGGAAAAATAATAATTGTCAGAAATGGGGTAGCACTGCCCCAGCCTCCACTGTAAATTGTCAAACAGAAGCTGTGGCTGTATTTGTTCTGCAGTGGTGTGCAGACAGCAAGCTTTTCATCAACACAGAAAGCAAATACCAAGAAATGCTGCGAGCACTTTGGGATTAACTGAGGGATGATGATATTTCAACCCCATGATTCTACGGAGAGGCAGACCCATCAATACCACATCCTCAGCCTCATTTGCACCCCCCAAACCACCCTAAATATGTTACCCTCCCCCAAAGGCTTGGCTGCAGGAAAACTCAACTATACAAGCTCATCTCTACACATCCTGTGAACTGCACCACAGCATGTACCCACCAGTGCAAGTGCGTGTGCAAGTGTGCGCACACACACACACACACTTTCTTTCTCACACCATCAACATTGCTTTCCTTTAGGCTCCACTACTGACAAGGCTGAGTGAGGGCAGGGCTGGGCTTCTCCACCAGCACCCTCTACACATGAGAGACCCCGCCCTGCCATAACTGTCACCTGATCCCATGGGAGTGCTTCTGCTGTCCCCTCCCTTGACCCCCCTGCTTCAGTAACATCTTGCTCATACTGTAAGGCTCACCATAAGTGCCATCTTCCTTACTCCTCCTGTCTCTCCAGCCAGTCCCCCTCACTATCACCATTCAGGACCACTCTAACAGGGCTGACAGGCTCTCCCCGCCTTCTGAATTCCATGCTTCCTTCTGCTCCAGCCTGTTCCCTCTGCTTGGAATCCCTTTCTCTTCCCCTTTCTTGCTAACTTTTCATCTTCATATGAAAAGTGACTTCCTCAGGGAACCTTTCTGTACTCTGAGAGAGGAGCAGGCTTCCACCACACACTCCCAGGGAACCTGGTACTTCCCTTCCTAGAACTTCTTTGGCTAGGCGTTTGTAAGTCTGTGTGATTATTTGATTCAGGGCTCCTTGTTCACTGGCTTAAGTGCTGTGAGATCAGGGGATGTACCCATTTTTTAGAACTATATTTCAGGGTTCCCACAGTGCCTAGCATGGGCAGAGCCTTAACAAGTACTTGCTGGTGGATGGTCGGGATGCTTCACTGAGATGGCAGAGCGCTCAAGATTGTCAGGTTTTAAACTCTAGTTCTGTTTCTTCTTTCTTGCTTGCTTTCTTCCTTTTTTTCCTCACTACGGATTGAATTCAGGGCCACTCTTACCACTGAGCTATATCCCCTGCCCTGCTTTTTTACAAATTTTTGATACAGAGTCTCACCAAGTTTCTGAGGCTAGCCTCAAACTTATGATTCTCCTGCCTCAGACTCCTGAGCTTCAGGGATTACTGGTGTGCACCACCAAACCCGGCTCCTGTTTCTTATTTACTATGTGACATTGGATAAATCTTTCCATGCCACAGCTTTCTCATCTGAAAATTTACCTACTCCAAAGTTGTTACAGAAATTAGTTAATATATATAAAACATTTGAAACAATACTGTACACAGTTACAGTCTATAAATACTAGCCTTTATTACATTCTGTAAGACCCATCTATGTGGAGCTTAAACCTTCCTGTAGGCTATGATGTCCTTAAGGGGATGATCTGAGTCTGAGTTCCTTTGTTACCCACAGTACCTGGCAAAAGGTAGGCACTGGTACATATTTGCCCATGGCCTGACCAGCTGACCAATGACTGCTTCACCTGTGTTCCAAGCAGCCATCTTTCTTTTCTGGTGATATAGTCCAACTTATTTTTCATGGTACAGTTCAGACATGACCTCCTATCTAGACAGGGTGAGCCACTCCTTCCTGTGTTCATACTGCACCTTGGACACAGACACTCATTTATTTGTGCATTCATGCATTCAGTAGACATTTACTGAGCACCTACTGCTGTGCCTGCTCTGTGCGGGGCATGCATTGCTTGTTTGGCACCATCAGTGGGATTTGGCTTCCCCACCAGCCTGTGATATCCCCTGGGGTGGGGTCCATGTTGAATGCCCACTGCCTGGTCAGGAGGGCTTAGTAGAGACAGACGTACCTTGTCCAGGTCCAGCTTGCACAGGAGCACTGGGGATCTGGGAGCCTCTGTACCCTCAGCTCCCCCAGTTGACCTGCTGACCTCTCGGATGACCTGTGGAGAGGACACACAGCAGGAAAAGATGGTCACAAAAGATCTGTAGGCAAAAGGATGATTGGTTTTTGTATGATCAGGGCTGTTATACAGAGGGGTGGATGCAGACACTTGCACAAGCATGGGGTATATCAGAGTCTGAAAGGCTTCCTTCTGTATCTGTCCCTTGGACTAAGAGGATACAGGGCTAGAAACCAAGAGACTTAGTTTCATTACTTAGTTATGTGTCTTGAAAAAGCTACTTCTGCCAGGCATGGTGGCACATGCAACTTAGGAGGCTGAGGCAGGAGGATGGGGAATTCAAAGCCAACCTCAGCAACTTGGCGAGGTCCTTAGAACACAGTGAAACCCTGTCTCAAAATAAAACATAAAAAGGGCTGGGGATGTGTCTCAGTGGTTAAGTGCCCCTGAGTTTAATCCCTGGTAAAAAAAAAAAAAGAAAAGAAAAGAAAAGAAAAAAGAAAAAGCTACTTCTTTGCTCTGGGCCTCCATTTCCACATCTGTAACATGAGAACACTGGTCCTCTGCTGGGGCTGCTGAGGCTGCAGAGGGTTAGACTGTGGATGTGAGGGGTGATATGAACCAGAAAGGCTTGCAAGGCGAGGACTTGCTTCTGTGACCAAGGAAGGAGCTGGGGTCATCATCTCTATGTCAGTGATAAGGAAACAGACTCACTCACTCATTCAAGGTTGCAGCAATAAGCATGTAGATCATAAAGTAATGATAGCCACCATTTGATGCTAACCCATCAAGAATTTTATCTCCACAGCAACCAGTGATCCCCAAGTTGCAGGTTAGGATGATGAGGCTCAGAGAGGTGAAGCCATATGTGGGTAGCAGCAGAGCCAGAAACTAAAAGCAAACAGTATGGTTGCAGGCTCTTAACCTTTAGATAAGATGTTAAGGCAGGTAGGCTCCTCTCTCTTTTTTTGCAGTACGGAGGATAGAACTCAGGGGCACTCTGCTACTGAGCTACATCTCCAGCCCTTTTTATTTTTTATTTCAAGGCAGGGTCTCACTAAGTTGCCTAGGTTAGCCTTGAACTTTCTGAGGCTGGCCTCTACTTATGATCCTCTTGCTTCAGCCTCTCAAGGATTATGGCTGACAGGAGTCTTGTAGCTCAGTGCTGGGGCTCCATCTTCTGACCCATCTGGCCCTTGGGGGCAGAGGTTTCCCCACCAGGCGGGTTCTCTTACTTCCTTCCCCTCCTGAGACAAAAGCAGTCAGGAGAAACCAAACGTTCCACGCAAGAGCTGGTTATCACAGGAAGGAAGGGAGGGAGGGAGGTGCTTGGTTTCCTTGTTCCAGCAGGGAGATCAGAGGGAGAGAGAGAGAAAGGTGTCAGAGTGGAGCAGAGATCTGTGCAGGGGGAGGTCGGCTGGAGACGACTGGGACTGGAGCATCGCCAATATTGCAGCAGTCACTGACAGTTACTGACACCTGCTGTCTGCCAGGTGCTGTGCCGAATGCTCCCTAGCATCTTCACAAGAACCATTTTACAGACAAGGAAATCACAGCACAGGGCGGTAAAGTCATTGTAGACAAGGAAACCACGGCACAGGGCGGCAAATTCATTTGTAGAAGACCACACAGCCAGTGAATGCTGCTTATCCTGGGACTTGAGCCAAGTCTATATGCCACCCAAGTCTTCCTTTGTCATAACCATGTCACTGTGTCTATGCCTTTGGAGTAGATCTACTTCTTTGATTCAAATTATGGCACCAACCACTTGGCAGTGAGATCTTTGGCAAGTCCTAAGTGCCTCCATTTCCTTGTTTGTAAAATAGGAATGATAACAGTCCCATTGTGAGGGTAAATAAGATCATGTATGTGAAGCTCTCAGCACAAGCCATGGTACAAAGTAAGTGCTCAATATGTGGTGGCTCTCATTGTTCTGTGTGGCCACAAAGATGCAGAAGTGGGGCCACAGGTGCTGGTTACAAGGGTGAATGTTCCCATCTAAAACATGAAAGAGTTTTTCCCTCCCTCCCTCTGATCTTTCTTTCTTTTTTTTTAAATTGTGGTTGGACACAATACCTTTATTTTATTTGTTTATTTTTATGTGGTGCTGAGCATCGAACCCGGGGCCTCGCACATGTTAGGCAAGCACTCTACAGCTGAGCCACAACCCCAGCCCTTCCTTCCTTCCTTCCTTCCTTCCTTCCTTCCTTCCTTCCTTCCTTCCTTCCTTCCTTCCTCTCTCTCTCTCTCTCTCTCTCTTTTTCTGGGTTAGCTTGTCTAATGACAAAATCAGCTTCCTTCATATTAAGCTCCCCATTCCAGGAGGTATATGAGTGCAGTCCAGACAAGCTCCTAGTAGGGATGTTAGAGGATCCAAATAACTAGAGGGAACTTGGGTCCCCAGCATGACATCTGTCTCTTGCAGACATCCAAGATCCATTTCCAAATATAAGCCCCAACTACGTGCAGGGCGCCTGGGCTCAGGCTCTGACCCCTTCTACCCTGAGCAAGGATCGGTTCTCTCAGAGACAGAATCCAGCTCCATCATTGGGGTTCTGGAGAAGAGAGGAAGAAAAGAAGGGCGGCAAGACAGGAGTGGGGTGTGGGCCCCACATACCTTCATCCATTCCTCAGCCTGCTCCCGGCTCTGCAGTGCGAGCACCAAGACCTCAGTGGCCCCCTGGGTGAAGCGCAGCTCATGCCTCTTGTGCCGGCTGTCCTTGGGCACGTAGATGACGCTGCAGGCATCCAGCGCCAACCTCAGATGTGGCTGACGGTCCTTGGAGCTTTTGTAACACTGGACAAGGAAAGAAAGGGTCAGGACCTTCTGGAGTGGAAGATAGAGCAGGAAGCTACCCTCATACAAAGGCTTGGAGTACCCAAAGTCTCCAGGGAAGTTTGACTTACCCCATAAAGACCTCCCCACCTAGCCCAACTGTGGGCACTGTGCAAGGACATGGAGATGCCAGCCAGGGATGTCATTGGGCATCTTCAGGCACAACTGTCTAGTAAGAAGAGATGGATTGCAGCATAATACCAGGAAGACCATTTGGGTCTTAAGAAGTGGAGAAGAAATGGGCTGGCTTGGGAGGAAACTACATGAAAGGGCAGTATGGCAGGAATTTGGAAAAGGGAATTCTAGCAGAGGTGGAGGGCTGGCCTTGGGAGGTCGGTAGTTTATCAATAATGATTCTGACTCCTCCCTTCTTCTCATAAGGCAAGCATTACCTTGGTGGGAGAAACTGACAGTGACATTACAGAAAAGGAAGACCATAGGCTAATTAATCGTCTAACAGAAGCAAAAGCCCACAACAAAAGACGAACAAATGGAATCTAGACACATAGAAAAGCACACTACATCAAGACCAAGTGCAGCTTTCCCTGGGAACACAACATGGTTTCATATTCAAAAATCAACCACAAAATTCATCAAGTAAATAGAAAAAAGGAGAAAAAATCACACATATCAATAGAATCAGAAAAAGGCATTTTATATAATTCAGTATCCATTTGTGATATAAGCTCTTAGCAAACCAAGAATAGAGGGGAAGGATCTTCCTTAACATGGTAATAAGGAACATTTACGAAATCCTGCAGGAAAGATAAATGTCAGTCTTAATGGTGAATTACTGGAGCTTCCTCTAGAGGTCTGGATGGAGTTAGGCCCAGCTCCCCCCACTCTGTTTACACCATGCTGGAGGCCCTGGCCTGGCCGGGAGTTGGGAACAGAGAAGGCACAGGCAGTGGAAATAGGTCGCCCTGACCCTTGTACTGGTGCTTGCCTGGGGTGAGCTTTCATTGCCCCAGGGTGACAAAGGGACTTGTTTCACATGCATCTGTGTTAAGCCAGTCTTGTCAGCAGAGTATTTTGGGGAGGAACTATTATTTTTTTTCCTAAAATTTATGCTCATCCACCCATTTCGGAATTAAACCTTGGTGAGCTTACCTCAGGTCTTTAAGGTGTGTGTGTGTGTGTGTGTGTGTGTGTGTGAGTGAATTTTGCTTGTGTGGAGAGCCATGATCTCAGAAGCACTGGGCTTTGAGCTGTGCACAAGGCCAGGCCAGTGGTCCTCAGGCAGAAACACGTGAGTCTGCCTAAAGGCACTCACCAAGAGCTGGTCCTCCTTGATGACGGTCAGCTGCTTGGCCCACTGTCCAAAGCGCTTTTTCCGTAGCAGGAAGGCACATATCCTGCAGTCCCTCACCAGGTGCATGGAGGCCTCCTCGGAGGGCCACTGGTGCCTAGGCTGTGGCCCCTTCCCTTCCTCCTCCTCCTCATCATAGGACTCGTAGGAGCTGCTCATGGCGTCTGAGTCATTGTCTGCAGGCACCACGGGAAAGAACCTGTCACTGTGCTGTCCTGGGGAAGCCCCCTGCTCGCCCCGACACCCTGAGACCACAGAGGAAACCCAGGGCATGGTGTTGGAGAGGAATAGAGGCCTGCCTCGTGCAGTGCACTGTGTTTTGGATTTACCACTTGCTTTGTGATCTTGGTGACTTCACTTGGGGAGCCGCAGTGTCCTCATTTGTATGGGATCTCCATTAATAATAGTACTTATTTCGACCAGCCTCTTGAACACCAAGGCATGGAGAATGTTCAGCCAAGTGTTTGGCACCCAGTAAAAAGCTGTGATTATCCCATCAACTCTGCAGCCTTTGTCTCAGGTGATGCTCACACCAAATCCCCATCATGGATAAGGAAACTAGGCTCCCCTAAGATCAGTTACCAAGAGTCAGGACAAAGGCAGGATTCTGGGCTCCAGATTCCTATTCCAGTGGCCTTTCCACTGAACCCTGGGGTCACAAGGGCTTTGGAGCATCTGTGGTGACCATGGCTGGGGTGAGAGGTGGGGCACATGAATGCCAGGGGCTGGCTCCTTGTGAGGGCAGAGCTGGTGTGAACTTACAGGAGTTCTTCAGCTCTCCGTTCATCCTGGCCGCAGGGTAGCTGCTGTCTGCGTCCTCATAATAGCCATCCACAATCGAGTGGGCTGGGCTGCATCCATCTGTGGGATTGTCGAAAGAGCTGAGCATGGAGAAACACAGACAGACCCAGGAGTAGACCCAGGGGCACGGCTGGGAAGGCCCTAGATACCTTGCCCCTTATCAGGGAATACAGAGTGGAGCTCAGGGCAGTCCCACACTGGGTGTGGGGACTTGTCTCTGCATCTTGTCTGCTCTCTGGTTCCCAACATACGCTCAGTGCCCCTGTCCCACGGAACTGCCCTGCCAGGCCTATGTTCATGCTATTTCCTATGCCCTCTTCTACCAGAGAACTCCTCACATCCAAGACCCAGTTCCAAGATCTTTCCTCTGACCTTCCCAGTTGGCTTCTCCTCAGTGACCCAGAACATCAGTGTGTGTGAGAACATTTTGGTGGCAGCTCTGGTCCTTGCACTGTGGAGAGTGGTGCACCAGCTGCCAGGGCTTAGATCTGCCTCCATGTTCTGCACAGACCTCCTCTTCTCCCCTCAGACTTGCCGTTCACTTCCTAACACATCTGCTCCCTCATCTTGGAAAGGCAATTTTCCGTCAAAACCTCTGGGAATACAAAGGAAGAACTGGACCACAGGAGCGAATAATAATGCTCATACGAGCATTAGAGCAATAGCAACAGCTATTGGAGCTGAATGGTTAGGGCACATCCTCCTTTGGGGCTGGGAGGTGGTACAGAGCAGTGCAGTGGTGAGCAGGGCACCTCAAACTGTTCTGCATCAGAATCACCTAGGGGTTGTTTTCCAGTGCAGATTCCTGGGTTGCATCCCTAGAGTTTGGGAATCCCTGGAGTGAGTTGGGCTGAGGAAGGGAAAAATAATTTGATAGGAAAATTCTAAAGATACATAAAATAGAAAATGCATCAAACTCTAATGAATTGGAACAAATTTATTTTTAAAAAATATATGAAGTTGGGCTAGGGCTATAGCTCAGTGGCAGAGCGCTTGCCCAGCATGTGTGAGGCATAAGGTTCAATTCTTAACACCACATTAAAAAACAAAACAAAACAAAAACAAAAACAAACAAAACCAAATAAAATAAAAGTATGCTGTCCATCTACCACTACAAAAAAAAATAAAAAAAAAATATATAGAGTCATTTTGATGTAGATAGTCCCTGAGGCTCAGCTAGAAGTTCGGCTGGTGAAGGGTTTGGGCTCTGTCAGAATTGAGCTCCAATCCTATCTCTTCCATCTCCTGAGTGAGCCTGGAAAGAGTATAGCCTCCCTGCATTCCGATTCTTCACCCAGGAAGTGAACAGCACCCCACTGTGGATTAATGATATCATGCACATAAGCTCTGAGCACAGAGCGTGGCACACATTGGGTGCTGACAAATGCTAGCCATCATTATCGTTGTGTCCTTTGATTCTCAATGGGAGGGAGGTTCAGCCCCATTTTACAGATGGGAAACAAGCCACACATGGCTGGTTGCTAAGTGACAGAGCTTGGGTCAGAACTGAGGTTGCCAGCTCAGGTGATGGAAGCATAGCCTCTCCTCCAGGAGGTCTTCTTCAGCCCAGTCCCACTCGCTCTCACACACACTGATCTTCAGGGCTCTGCTCTGGGTTCCCAGTCCCTCCTGTCCATCTGTTTCCTGAGGGCAGCAGCACTGAAGTTTCCCACAACTGGGACTCCCAGCTCTATCTCCCAAGAGGGGCTCGAGCTGCCTTTCGCAGCAGGCAATCTGAGGCCTCAGATGCTGACCACACACCGGTGAGGTGGACTGGGGGTGTCAGGGCCAGAGCAGCAGGGGGAGCTGGGAGGGGAAGGTGTGTCACAGAGGGACAAGACGAAGCACTGCAACACCTGGCAGGGCTGGACGCTGTGTGCCAGAGGAAGGATACTCCCTGATGGGCTTGGCATGAGCTCCCTGGACAAGGTCTCGGCCCTTCCTGAGGCCCTCCCTTCCCAGCTGCTCCCAGGAGGGTGCTTCTCTGCCCTGTCTGAAAGGGAAGTGAGCTTTCTGGAAAGATGCAGGAGCCTCATCTAGCTGAGGTGCTTGACCTGGGATTAGGCCCAGCAGCACCTCTTCCCCCTCCTTCCTCCCCTGCCCTGGAGTCAATGAGATAGGAAAAAGGTGCCTGTTTTACATCCAAACAGCTGCTTGTAGTAACATGGAACTTGGGACAATCAAGGCTAAAGAGGGCAACAGATCATCTGGTGCAGACCTACCACAGTTACAAGGTAGAAACAACCCAAATGTTCATCAATTGATAAACAGATATGCACAACATGGTATAGATACACAGAATGTTATTCGGTCATAGAAAAGAACGAAATTCTGGTCTATGCTCCAACACTGATGAACCTTGGAAGCATTATGAGAAGTGAAAGAAGCCAGACAGAAGAGGTCATGTAGTATGTGATTCCATTTATACAACATATTCAGAATAGGCAAATCTACGCTGACAGAAGACTGGAGGTCCGCAGGGGCTGGGTGAAGGGGGGCTGGGGACTGACTGGTTAACAGAAGTTTCCTTTGGGATGATGAAAATGTTTGGGAACTGGATAGTAGTGATGGCTGTACGACACTGAATGTACCAAATGCCACTGGTTGGACTTTTAAAAAATCGTGAAAATGCTCAACCTTGCCTGTAGTTGACCACAGTAAAAAGTAAAATGCCCCATGACAAAAAGCCCAAGCATTACAAAAGAACATGAGTGGAAGAGTATGTTTCCTTTGTTCAGATTTTTTTTTTCCTTTTTGAGACAGGGTCTGGCTATGTTTCCTAGGCTGGCCTTAAACTCTGGGTTCAAGTGATCCTCCCTCCTCAGCCTCCTGAGTAGCTGGGATTAGGACGTACACCACTATGCCCAGCTGAAATACATGTTCAAATATATACATATATATGAATATATATATATATAATTTATTTATTATTTTTCAGTGCTAGGGTTGGAACCTAGGCCTCAAGCATGCTAGGCAAGTGCTCTACCACTGAATTACATCCCCAACTCTCTCCCCAGATTTCAGATTTCATCTCACTCAGGAAAACCTCATTAATATTTCTTGCATAGCCTAGAAAAATTATTAGAATGCATGAATGTGTGTATATTCATTAGAAAAAAAAAGCTAGACTCATGTTATATGCAGTATTTTGTGTTTGATTTTCTTAAATGACTATATCTTGGAATTTGTTTCTGATCAGCACAGGCTTCTTTGATATATGTATCCATGGTGTTTCTGGATGATGGGGTAGCATCCCACTAACATTATATACAAATTCAGCTCCACGTGCTGGGTCATTCAAAACCATAACATGGTTCCTTGTGTATAATTGTGTACAATGTTTTCAAGAAAGTGATAGCTTCTGATCCTCAAAGGAACACTATCCATTAACTCACTGGAGGGAGAACCATGGAAGATCAAGGACTCTTCTTTGTGACAAATTTAAGAGATTTTCAAAGTTGATTTATTCTAGTGTTCTCTATATAATTTTAATGAGCACATCCAGCAGTACAAATATGTAGATGGAATATTTATATATTTATTTATATAAGTCATATGTGTAATAAGCTGTTCCAAGTATGCTCTTATTAGAGAATAAATGCTATATTCAGATAGAATTTTTAAAAACATGTGTTGAATTAAATATTAATATAGCTTCTAAGATTTCTGCCAACACCATTGTATGAATCTCTGGTATGTGCACATTAGAGACCTATAAGACCATGTGTCCTACCTTTTTCTTTTTTCTCTTTTCTTTTTTCCAGTGCTGGGAATTGAATCCAGGCCTTGCACATGGCAGGCAAGCACTCTACCACTGAGCTACACTCCCCACATGCCCTATTTTACCTGTTGTTGGCTTGATAACCTAACCCATCATAAGATGTGATTCTACTGAAATACAATTTATTACCCCCCAGCCCATCCCCAGACAGGAGCAGTTGGATTAGCATCAGTTTCAGGGCTCAGAACAGGTTGGTTTATGTTACCTCCTTCCAATGCATGTATGTGAGCATATTTTTGTTTTAGGAGTAGAGGAATAGAGGTCCAGAGAGGAGAAGGGGGTGGTCCAAGGCCACACAGAACTGAGACTAACCCAAGTCCCTGGCCCCTGGTCTGCACCCATCAGTCCACCCAGATTGGCACTGCAGAGGCCAGAAGCTCAGAGCAGCCTCTCCTCAAGAATTGGTGACATGGCTGGGTAGGCACTAGGCCTGGCACTCCAGCTCCTGCAGGACATGGACACACTTGGAATTGGCTTCTCAGGAAGGAGAAGCCCATAACCCTGAAGGGGACCAGAACTTACTGTGGGAGCTGATGTACTCAGGGGACTTGCCTGGTCCCAGAGGAAGGGCCTCCTCATAGTAGTCCTCAGGGGGAGGCTTGTTGGGCAGTGGCGGAGGCAGGTCTGCTGCCTGTGTGGGGACAAGAAAGTGTGTGAGATCAGATGGCTGCGGAGTAGAGAAGAGGGGAGCAGGAGGGAGCGAGGCTGGTGGAGGAGGATGCGGTAGCTCTTAGGAGGTAGGTAGACCCTGAATGGGAAGCCATATTTTTAATATAGTCACAGAGAAGGCAGAACTTAAGAGTGTATTTGTCCTGTGTTTCTCACCCCAAATTTTGAAGCATTAGAGCTTCTCTATAATGGCTGAAAGTTTTGTGGACTGCCAAACCCTGGTAGCTATACTTTTGCTTGAGCACACGCAGAATTACAAAGAACTACCATGAGTTCCCCAAACTCTTCCACCACATCCACATCCACATAAGAGGAGCAGCAGGACACATGCGCATGAGGCTTGGTATTTAGTGAACAGCTTAGGCTTTGTGCCAGGGGATTCCCCAGCTTTACAGCTAAGTTCTGTCACTTAATAATTGTGGGACATCAGGCGTATCACTTGCCCTCTCTGAACCTCTGTTTCTTTATCTGTATAAAGGGGGATAGCAGTTGTATCAAGTTCACTAGTTGCTTTGAGCATGTGAAGGATACACTAAGTTGTCAACAACTGGTACCATCACCATTGATGGTGAGGATAATCCACTATGGAGTTGACAGACAATGCTTGTCTCTAACTCTGTGACCCCCACCAAGTCTGGGAACACTAGATCTGGTCCAATCTTTCATCTTGTGGGTGAAAAACTCAGGCTCTGAGAAGGGAAATGATTTGCCTAAGGGCACACAGAGACTGTGTGCCTGCTCCACAGAATTTCCCATCACCTCTGTATGCAGTCTGAGGTTGGCGTGGCGATGTGCTTCAGGCCTAAGGGGACAGACTAGCTCACCACATTCTCCCTGCTTAGCAGGACCACGGTGCGCATGCATGCGCTATTGAATGTATGAATGCTTATTTGTGCTATTTCTGCCCTTAACCACCACCTGGGAGAGAGAACAGGGTCTTGCACACAAAGAGGACCCAACCATCAGCGGGGGGAGAACTTCCCTCATCCTCTCTAGAAGGGCACAGAGCTTAAAGGTGTGGGATCCATGACTCACATTTCTCAGAGATGGGCTCTTGGCTGGCTCAGGGCTGGTTCCTTTGCTGGGCTCCCCATCATCCTCTGGCATGTCCCGAAGGTCACTCAGGTCACAGTCTACAGAGGATCAGGGCATTGGTCAAGGGAAAACCAAAGAGGGCTGGATTTGGGGTCTGGAGGTTTCCGAGTGAGGATTGGACTTCACCATTGCCTCCACCACCTAGGTGGCTTAATCAATTGCCCTGGGACTCCTCCATGGTAACCTGGTCACCCCACCCCCTGCCTCGTCTGTCAAGAGGACCAAATCACATTCTTTGTAATGGTGCTTTGGAGGTTTCTGACAATTGTGTTATAAAGGCTTGGTGTTCTCTCTAGGTCCACCAGCCCCCAGAGCTCCTGCATAGACTGTAGCTTTCTTCCCGTGGTGAGCACTCTTCTCTGTCCCCAGGATGGAGTTGGGCTGGCACACAGCCTCCCACACGCTGGCCAGCCTGCTCCCAGGCCAGGCTCTGACACAGCTCTCATTTTCTGCTTAGACACTGGACTGCTCAGCCAGGGTCCCAGGAGGACATGACTGGCAGAGGCCGTGGAGGGAGAGAAACCCCTTCTGTACTGAACTCTTTGACTTATACTTTTCTTCCTACTGTTCCTCAAATCTCAGGAACATTTTTATAACTGTAAATTCCAATTACATTTTCAGAGCTGGCAGAGCCCAGAGAACCCAAAGTGACTCCATGATGCAATGTTAGAGCCAGGCCCAGCCATCTGGGAGAGATGGTGTCAAAACCAAGGTTGGAAGAAGCACTTACCAAATTCTTCAAAGAGGGACTCCACAAAGCTGGGCCCCGAGTGGAGGTCAGCAGTGTTCACGTATAGGTAGGAGACTTCCTTAGCTGGAAGGGAGGGGAGGACACTGGCTGTGAGGGGGGAAGGGATGAGTCCAACCCGCCCTGCGTGGACTCCTGTTCCTCAGGAGCTCAGCACTCACTTTGCAAAGCACGCTCACATCCTGTCATTGTGCTGTTTTTCACACTTTGTTTTCATTTTTACTCTGTCACTGAGGATCTGTCTCTAAGTAAAAGGAGGCCCAGAAACCTAGTATTACGGGGCTATTCTGGGAATGGTCAGGGGACGGGGTCCAGTGAGCACACTAGGAAAAATGCTGCCCTTTTCTTCCTCCCAAGAGTCCTGTGAGGGTGGCAGGGATTGTCAACTCAGTTTTTTGGGAAACAAGGTTTAGAGTCACTCAGTGGTAACTTCCCACAGCATCCTTCAGATTCCCTGAGCATGGAAGGACACAGGTATAGCCTGGAGTTCAGAGAGATGCATCGTGCCATCAACTGACCTGGAATGTGGAGGAAAAGATGGAGCCAGTGGGCAGAGCGTGTTGCTGGGCAGATAGTAATGGGCAGAGATGTGGGCTTAGGTGGGCACAAGCAGGGATGCAGCTCATGAGGATAAGTGTGTGCAGGATTGTATGCCTGTGCAGGAGGGTGTGAGGTGCACATGCGTGTGTGTCGGGGGTCTGTCTGGTGTAGCTCAGAGCATTACCTTTGTGTATGTGCGTGTGCTGTGTGCACGTGTGGTGTATGTAGTGTGTATTGTGGGTCATGTGCAGTGCATAGGAGTGCATCATGTGTGAGAGTGCTGTGTGAGTCCTGTGAGAGTATTATGGGTCATGTGTGGCAGGTATGTGGGTGCAATGTGTTCTTTTTAAAAAAAAAAATTCAAAGTTTATTTCTTACATGACAATAGTGGAATGCATTGCTATCTTTATTATCCATTCACAGCATAATTTTTTGTAACTCTGCATATAAAATGTGTTCACACCAAATTATGCCATTATACATGAGCTCTCTTATTATTACTATTATTATTTTTTTGCATTACATTTTTAAAACAGCATACTACAGGAACTCAGCCACATCAATGTTTATAGCAGCACAATTCACAATAGCTAAACTGTGGAGCCAACCTAGATGTCCTTCAGTGGATGAATGCAATGTGTTCTTGTGTGTGAACGTGTGGAGGGCTGGGGATGGAGGAGGACAAAGAACACTGCCAGGACTGAGGTGGAAGAGCAGGCTCTAAGTGGACAAGAACATTAGACCAGAGCATGCTATTAGCAGAACCTGTGTGTTGTGAGCGGAACCTGTATGTGCACAGGCCCTGGGGAGTTACTGAAGGTCCTTGAGGAGGGTCAAGGGTGACACAGCTGTCTGTAGAGGAGTGGCTCATCCGGGCTGACCTGGGAGAGGCTGTAGGCTCTGCAGGATGGAGGCCACGGCCATCTTCTTCTCCAGGGTGCTGTCACTTAGGTACTCATGGTCCAGGAGGCTAAGCAGACCAGTGAGCTCCGGGAGCAGCTGCTCCAGCACTGGGGAGAAAAGCCAGGGCCAGTCAGAGTTCTGCATGCAGGATCTGGCCCTCCCCACCCGCTGAAGCCTGGGCTGGAGGGGACAGAGCGCAGGGCCTGGTACACAAGGGAGAGGCAGGGCCCTCACACAGCTGTCCCAGTGCTGGCCACCATGCTCCCTTGGGGGGCCCTGCTCATTAGCCCCATGGCATTCCTCCAGGCTTCCTCACACTGCCTCAGACCTCAGATGACCTTGGCCGGAGGACTATACCTCCCTGGGCTCACCCCGGCCACTCTGAACCCAGGCAGCCCTGGGCAGAGGTGCCCGGGCCTCCCTTTGTCCCAGTCTGCTCTCTGTTTGCGGGTCTAGGGGGGCTCAGTGCAGGGCTCAGCTGGAGCCCCTGGCTATCCAGGATATAGGCAGGAAGGAGCCTTCCTGTCCCATCAGTTCATATGCTTCAATCTCTGGAACCTTCTGTTTCCGGCACTTTGGCCAGAGCCAAACTAAACATTAACCCTTCCTACTCCATGCCCAAAGCTGTCATTGCCATTCTTCCCATGCTCAAACCAGCACTTCTCCAACCTGAGTGTGTTTAGGAACCACCTGGGGATCTTGCCAAAATGCAAATTCACATTCAGGAGGTCTGGAGTGGGACCCAGGTGTCTGCATTTCTGACAAGTTCCCAGGTCTGTGACCAAAGTGAGTTGCAAGATGCTAGAGCACAGAATCCTTTAAAGACTGGAAAATACTAAGATCATGATGTCATTGATATCTTTCTGTCCCAAATAGTAACTTGGGACTTGATTTGCGTTAAGGCCAAGGGTCAGTTTCATCACAGTAGTATTGTCCTGCTTTTTGTCTTACCATACACTTGTGCGTTATGATAAAAGCTAACCTGTATTGAACAATGCTGAGACCTTTATGCTTATTGTACCTTTTAAATCTCATATCAAGCATTTTCTTGTCTCCATCATATGGAGGATAACACTGAGCCTCAGAAACGTCTCCATGATTGCACAGCTACTAACCCTGGCTGGATGACTTCCCTCACTCTAGTATCTTCACTACAGAACTAACTACATTGCCTTGTGGTATTTTGTGCAAGTTCTGAGATAGGTCTCAGGCTCACCCTTACTTTTTTAATCATCTAAAAAAGTAAGGGTGAGCCTGAGACCTATCTCAGAACTTGCACAAAGGTGAGTAACTATCTTAAAGTCACAGAGGCAAGCTGAAGGACCAGGACTTGCGCTCTGGCCATGATTCCCACGTGTTTCTCTCCACCCTGCATGCCCTGAGGAAGCAGAAGACTGATATGAACCTGTGGGGTCTGGGACATGTACAAGAGGCTGTCACATCCTGCCTAAGAAAACCAGACCTGGACCAGAGTGCCAAGTTCAAATTCAAACTGCATTATTCCTCAGCTCCGAGACCTTTGACAAGTTACTTCGCCTGCCAGTGACTCAGTTTTCTCCTCTGTGAAGGGAGGCTAACAACAGTACCTGCCTCATTCGGTGGCTGTGAGAATTTCTTCCACCAAGCTCGTCGTGCCTGGGCCTGCTCAGAGCAGAAGCTCACCACAGTCAGCTGCTCCCTGCCTCTGCAGACTTCACCTTGCTGACCTGTGCTGCGCAGGCCTCCGAGGGTCTGTCTCTCTCAGCAGGAGCTTAGCTCCAGAAGGTGTGGGCTGGACTATGATACTGCGTCTGCTCAGCACAGGTGCGCCAGGTGTGTTTGACAAGAGAAGGGATGTATAGATGTCCACTCTTTGGATTTTCTTTTAAATGGAAATTGTCTGTAGAGATGGTGGCATTATTGGGAAAATGTGACATTGTTGTCTCTCTGCAGCAGTCAAGCTTCTCCTCAAATTTGTGGAATAGAAGCTAAAGATGGGATTGGATGGGACAGCTCACTCATGAGTGCTCCCCACTGGTAGGCACTTCCTGCCTCACCCCCAGGCACAGATGTGAGCAGCTTTTGGGATACACATTTTCCAGGACATGACGCCTGGGCTGAGGAGACCTAAGGGATGTTCCTCAGTTTCAGAGGGGTGGAGCCCGGCTGATTCCCAGGCTGTGCAATTCCTAGAGCCACTGAGTGGTACTGCTCCAGGGTGCGCTGCTGAACCCAGAGCTGGGTGAAAGGAGCCTGGAGACCTGCTGTCCCCAGAGTGACAGAGAAGCAAGGGTTCTGGATGGATTGGAGAGGCTAGGAGGGGCTCCTATTTAAAGCAGGAATTCATTTAAAATAATTTCAACCAAACTTGAGTTGGCTGAGAAAGAAAACTTTTCAGATAGAATCATGAACTTCTCTGGCACCCTTAGGGACACACCAAACATCAGTTAATGTAATTTCAAAGCATTTACTGAATGCTAAATATGTGTCAGGGGGGCCACTTGGGGGTTAGGAAAAATAAACAAGATATTGTCCCAGTAGGCATCCTCTCTATTCAGTTTCTCTCTCTCTCTCTCTCTCTCTCTGCACGCACAGTCACAATTAGTGACTCACAGGGGACGTCCCAGTAAATGCAGTAAGGCAGGCACCAAGGGCAGCGAGCTGTCCAAGGCCTGCGGCTGTGGTTCTCATTTACAAGTTCCCAATCTGCTCTGCTGTCATGTGCCCGAGTCTTGAGTTCAGGGTTGCTGGCAATTCGGCTCTACGCCAAGCATTCTGAAACCCTCTGGTGTCAGGATTCCTTTTTACTTTTAGAAATTATGGAGTACCCTGGGGTATTTTATCTGTCAATATTGACTGCATTAACCCCGCTTGGCAGCATTTGGGGTTTCTTTAAATCTCTGTTCTTCTCCCTCCCTGTCTTCCTTTTCCTCTCGTTTCTTTCTTTCTGTCCATGATTGCACATCTACTAACTCTGACTGGCCGAATTCCTCATTCTAGTATCTTCACCACAGAAATATATTTCCGTGTGGTATTTGTGCAAGTTCTGAGGTAGGTCTCAGGCTCACCCTTACTTTTTTAGATGAAGAAAGAAGTAAGGGTGGTTCCAATATCTGCCAATATAAACTGCATTAACATTGAAACCTGAGACCTTCTAGAACCACAAGAACACACTCTTGGAGTGGACACATCTTCCCATGTCCCCTCAGGAAATCTCCACTGCACACACTCAGAGAATGAGTGAGGCAGGCGTGTGACATCTTAGTACTATTTATATAAAAGCACTTTTGACCTTATGGACCCCTTGAAAGCATTTTGGGGATCCCTCAGATATCCCCTATCCCAACACCTACCTTGAGAACTGCTGTGCTCAGTGAATGAACCCAGATTGCTCAGCTTATTGAGTTTCTTTCTTTCCTTTTTTTGCGTTACTGGGAATTGAACCCAGGGGCACTTCACCACTGAGCTACATCTCCAGCCCTTTTAATTTTTTTTTTTAAATATATTCTTTTAGTTGTAGATGAACACTATACCTTTTTAAAATTTATTTTTATGTGGTTCTGAGGATTGAACCCAATGCCTCATATTTGCTAGGCAAGAGCTTTACCACTGAGCTACAACTCAAGTCTAGCCCTTGTGATTTTTGAAACAGAGTCTTGCTAAGTTGCCCAGGCTGGCCTTGAAGTGGCAATCCTCCTGTCTCAGCCTCCTGACTAGCTGGGTTTACAGGCATGTGCCCCCCTGCTTGGCAGCATTTTGGGTTTCTTTAAATCTCTTTTCTTCTCCCTCCCTGTCTTCCTTTTTCTCTCGTTTCTTTCCTTCTGTCTGAGGTTCCAACCCTTTCTTGCTGCTCCTAGCAAGTACCTGCATGTGGCGGTATTCCTGCTTCTAAGTGCTCTGCCTTACTGCTTCCAATACATACAATAAACTTTGTTACTGTTGCTTCTAATAAGAACAATGCAGTTCCCCGTGAGTTCTCTGTATTTATCATATGAGCTTTAGTATCCAAGCTTCATAACAGCATTTTTTGTTTCCTTCCTGGTCTTTGATGGGATTCTTCACATGAGACCTTGACTTTTACGTGCTTTTCATTTAACAGAGATGTGATCACTGGAGTCCAAACAGATTGGAAGAGAAGGAAGGGCCTGAGCCAGGGAGAAGCAGAGGAAGAGCGAAAGGCTGCCTAGTCCTGGTGTTGGTTTCAACAGCTATGATCTTAGCTCAGTGCAGCAGAGGCTGGCAGAGGTACTGCTGGGCTTCCTCTCCAAGTCCTCCCCCTGAGGGGTCAGGGTGTGACTTCACTGGGGCTCCCAACTCTTTGACTGGGGACCCCTTCACCTGTGGGTGGGCAGCCCTCACTGTAGGGTTGACATTCTCTCTCTCTCTCTCTCTTTTTGTACCCGGGATTGAACCCAGGGGTGCTTAATCACGGAGCCACATTCCCAGCTCTTTTTCATATTTTTTAGAGACAGGGTCTCGCTAAGTTGATGAGGCTGGGTTTGAATTCTCAATCCTCCTGCTTCAGCCTCCAAGTCCAGCCTGACATTCCTTCTCCATGGCCCTCTTTCTAATGAGCCTATTTGAATATCACAGCCCTGACTGTGAGGACCTCACAGAAGAAAATCAGGTTACTCAAAGAGAATACCAGACATAACTAGGGGATCTCACCTGATAGAACCTTCTGTATATCATGGATACCAGAAACCTTCAGCCAGCACCAGGCTTTTCTAGAACAGTGCAGAACTCACCCCAAGACAGCCTTCAAGTGCAGCAAATATAGAAACGCTTTCAATGAGAGCTTTGTTTTTAGTATTGGAGAATCCAACCACAGGGATTTCATCCATCAGAGAATTTAATTTGAGAGAAGTCATATGGGTATAATGCAAATGACAAATAATTCTGGCCAGGGCTCACACGTACCACAGAAGTCATATGGGTATAATGCAAATGACAAATAATTCTGGCCAGGGCTCACACGTACCACTAGGATAGCTGCCTCGAATTTCAGAAAGACTGAGTTTTCTAGGGGTTGTTGGTAACATCAGTTCCTGAACCTCTTATCCAGAGAGTGACCTGGTAGTCTTAGGATCTGGAATCTACATTTTAATAAGCACTCCACCCGGGTGAT